TTGCAGTTCGAGGGACCACCTGGCTAATCTCCCGCTCAAGTCTTTGAGACTCATAAGCCACTGCAGACTCGCATGATCGGTGATTACCGTGAACGGCATCATCTCCACGTACGGCCGGAATCGATGTATGGCCAGTTTGGCGGCTAGGCATTCCTTCTCGGTCACCGAATAGTTGATCTGGTGCTTGTTGAGTTTGGCCGAGAAGAATGCGATCGGCCTTTCCTGTTGTTCGTCGTCTAGCTGGAACAACACAGCTCCTACTCCGTAGTGAGATGCGTCGCATTGGATGAAGAATGGTCTTCGAAAATCTGCGTGAACTAACACCGGGGCTGTGGTGAGGGCTAACTTTAAGCTCTCTATGGCTTCTATGGCCTCGTCGCTCAACACAAATCTACCCGTTCTCTTCTTAAGGGCATCAGTCAACGGTACCGATATCTCAGCGAAATTCTTTATGAATCGGCGGTACCACCCCGCCGTACCTAAGAAGCTTCGTAGTTCCTTGACCGTCCTCGGATTCGGGATGTTCCGGATCGCTTCTACCCTTCCCGGATCCATGCGCAGCGTCCCGCCGCCTATGATGAAACCCAGGTAGTTTAGGTTGCGGAAGCAGAATTTCGACTTCGCCATGCCTATGGTGAGGTTCGCGTTCCTCAGACACTCGGCCACCAATTCCAAGTATTTTAAGTGCGTTGGAAAATCTGCCGATATTATCAGCAAGTCGTCCAGGTATACGAATACGTTGGACCTCAGATTCGCCGGGATTACCTTGTCCATGAGCCTGCAAAGCTGTTGAGCGGCGTTGCAGAGCCCGAATGGCATGTGGCGGAACTGGTACAGCGGCCTCCCTGGTACAGTAAACGCCGTATACGCCCTGCTCTTCTCCTCCATCTCTATTTGCCAGAACGCGAACTTAAGGTCGACGCTAGAGATAAAATGAGTCTCGTCGATTCGCGATAGGATGCCCTCGATGCATGGAAGCGGGTACGCGTCTTTTACCGTTACACTGTTTAATTTCCTGGCGTCTAAGCAAAACCTGTTCTTCCCAGGCCTCATCACCACCGTCGTCCGGTTGCTCCAGGGGCTGTCACTCTCCTCGATGATGCCCAACTTTAGCATCTTATCCACCTCGGCCCACACGATCTCCTGTTTGGCCGGGGACAGCGGATAATGTCTGTCTTTCACGGGTTCTGCTCCCTCGATCAGCTGAATTCGGTGCTGCAGCAGGTGAGTTTTCCCTAGGCCATCCTCCTCAAATTGGAGAAATCTGCGCTTCACGCTTTCCAACTGACTCCTCTGATCGTTGTCCAGGTCCCACATTTCCGGATCCGTTACGCAGTCGTCGTCGTCCCGGTAATAAGCCACCTCTGGGTTCGCTACCGTTACCTCAGATGCCTCTGGTGGTGTTTCGGACTTTCTGGCCGGACCGAGCAGCTCTGGTGCGATCTCAAAGGCTCGCCAGAAGTCGATTCCCAGGTATAGTTCCTGTCGCAGGTCCGGGCACATGTAAAATACGATATCTTCCGTTCTATTCCCGTATTTCACAGGCAGAACAACGCGACCTAAAATTGGGCGATTGGCACCCGCCGCTGTCCTCACCATCGATTCGTATGGCCGCGCTTCCCATCCCAGTTTCTCCACTAACTCCCGGCATCCTTGTCCCAACAGACTGACTGAGGCCCCCGTGTCCAGCAACCCTTTCATTTTGGCTCCAGCGACCTCCACTTCGGCGAATACTCGTGGGTCTATACTCTCCTCCCGTCTCACCGCTTCGACGACCTGGCGCCTGGTAATCCTGCGTCTGCGGAAGCGCGCACGTGCCTTCACCATTCTCCGGGTGGCTAGCGTCATCCCCTCCAGCTGTCGCTCACCAAAAATTCTATTTCGGGCCGACATGTATGCCCGAACACGTTCTTCGTATGGTAAGCCCCTAAGTGTTCCTCCTTTGCTTATACTATTATTATAATTAGCCTTATCCTGATCCTTATTCCAAATCTCCGTCTCCTTTCCAATGATTATTGGCTCTGGTAGGTGCCCCTCTCCTGCTTTCCCGCGGTCGCCGTCCCGGAACGCGTCTGTCCCGCCATCACCGCGCTCCCTCTGGGGTTTCCCGGACAGTTTTCACACTGCGAGCAGAACGTGTCCGGCTTTCCACACCTATAGCAGAATATTTTCCGCTCCTTGGACAGGCAGTCTCTAAAGACGTGGTCGAACTGTCTGCAGTTCCAGCATACAATTCGGGATGAGTTCCTGCTTCGCACGAATGCCTCCTCCAGTTCTCCCGGTGGCGTTTCTGTAAGATGCGGTGGAACTTCAACCTCGTGGACTACGGGCCTCGTTCCTTGTGGACAACGCGACGGCTGAAGGTACCCAGTCCGGCTTCTGCGACCCATGTGCCTCTCCACTTCTAGGCACTCTTGGCGCAGCTCATCCACGGTGAGTACGTCCATGGCATAAATATATTTCGCCAGACTTTCTTTTAAACCACGCTTTATAATCCTCACCAGCTCTCGGTCTCTCAGCGGCTTCTGGAATCGCGCGGCGAGTTGACGCATGTGGTGGATATAATCATCCACCCCTTCGCTGGCCTGTTGCTCTCGTTGTAGAAGCTCCTGCATTACCTCGTGTTCCGTCTGGTAGCCCCGGAACCTGTCCAAGAGGGCATGCCGCAGTTGCATCCAGCTGTCGACCCTAGAATGCCGCACGTGCATCCAGTACCACTCGCGGGCGCGGCCGGTCAGGAGCAGGTGGAAACCGCGCAGGACCTCCTTCCACGGGCACTGATACTGCCTCTGCAGGAACTCTAGGCGGAACACGAAGTCCTCGACCGAATTCATCGCGTCCTCGCCGTCAAACTTGACGTTCCACCGCTCGAGCTTCATGTACGCAGTTTCTCGCACGTTGGCGTACGCCTCCTCCGGTTGAAAATCATCCGCTCTCCGGTCCTCTACTCGGAAATGGCGGTTATTCGGGTTACGCCAGTTCCTCGACTGAGCATCTGCCACGTAAACTGGGCTGCTGGACGAATACTCCGCCCCTCGTGCGCCTTGCCTACGTGGCTTCGGTGGCACCGGTGGTGGAAATGCCTCGCGCTGGAACACTTCCCGTTCTTTCGGGATGGCGCCTGTTCGCGGTCCCGGCTCGACATGTCTTGGCGGCTTCGGCGCAGTGTTAGTCTCGGCGGTTTGGCTCCCTGGCGGCCTAAGCACATCAATGATGCCCTTCATCATTTCCATGAAGCCAGCTCGCATCTCCTCGCGGATGGACTCGCTGATGCCAGATGGCAGAGCATGCAGATATGTTTGGTGGGCCTGAGCGATCGCCGCGTTTGCCGCCGATTTGAGCACTGAGTCTTTCGGGGCTTTTGGGAACTCCAGGTTCCGTGGAGGTCTATCCTGTTGCGCCAATTCTTTCTCCAAGTCTACCAGGTGACCCTCTTTCGGGATCTGTCTCTCTGGAAATCCCCGGAAATTCATTGGCGTTCGCACCAGCCCTCCAGCTGGGCGCGGCGGTGGCAGAGCCGACGCCCCATCAGCGTCAGAAGCCCAATCAGACACCTGTTCCTCAGCCATACTTATCCCTTCTGAGAACAGTACCCCTCTCTTCTACAAGGCTTACAACCCTTATAAAAACTTTACTAATATTTCTAATAAATTAATAAATAAATAAACACCCACTAACAAATCTTACTAATAAAGAATAATAAATTAATACACATCGACCACAAAAACACTCACAAAATTAAATTTTTTTTTCTTTCTAATTAATTTCAAATACTTGGGGGAGAGAAGACAAATCCTAACACAGGCTAAATAATCTACGCATAATCTGGACAGTGGACAACACTTAAGCATTCGTCCCATGCTCAGTTCGTCAGTTTGACTGACGGACGGCATGCAAGGAACGCTACCTTGAAGGCTATTTGGTTTCTGTCGCACTTCTGTGCACCCTTAGAGTATGCTGTGTGACAGGTGCGGCGCAGGATCGGCTCTATATCGTCCTGGGTCACCTGCCTCCGAAGCTCATTTAACTACGGCCAGCACACACCAAACGTTAACACAGAGTGGGACAAAACAAATAGAAAACATTAAACAAACTCTAGTCAGACCTACCCTAATATCACATTTCGTCACAGGTTATTTTGTCATGGCGGCTACCACCAGGCTACGATTGACGGTCGCGAACGTTCACCAACTAGCAAACGTGACTTACCGTCATCAACCGCGACAAGAAAACACCCCATGTCAATGGACACCATGGCAAGATCCGTCTCCGTCGCTCTTCTGGCCATTCTTGGGATATGCTGTGTGACAGATGCGGCGCAGGCTCGGCTCTATATCGTCCTGGGTCACCGGTCTCCGAAGCTCGTATAACTACGGCCAGCATACATCCAACATTAACACAAAATGAGACAAAAACAACTAATTGAATAAATAACATCTGACTAAACTACCCTAATATCACATTTTTTTAACCATGAGATGCCTTTGTCGTTGCGGCTACCACCAGGCGAACGATGGATAGTCGCAAATGTTTCGCCAACATGCGAACGGCCATCAACCACTACAAAAAAAACCCCTCATGCTTATGGATGGATATTCAGATAACCTCTACTTCCGTCGTGCTTCTCGGATTCCACTACACGCTGCGCGATTATGAGCTACCTACTCGTGCCACATAAGACTTCAGCGGTGTGGGTCCTGAAGCCAAGGGAGTCCTTTCCTCTGTACCTTCATTTTTATCGTATTTATTTTTCTTTGATTACACACCGACTTCAAAGAAGCCGAGTGCTTCTTCAATTTGGGCGCCATATTGTTACGGAACTGCTTGTTTCTCAGTGGGCCGCGCCGGCTGGCTCATCGGATTCTCTGGGTGTGGTCCCATCCCTGGCCCGCAGTCCGCACAATCGATAACAACAAAGCTACACGTCTGTAGCAAAATAGACTCACACAACACTACTCAAAATGAACCGCATAATCGATAACAAATATTCGGAACTACTAACTCATGAACAAAATACACAGCTGTAACAACTATGAAAATGTAAACAACAAAGGTAAGACACTCAATATAAATTAACAAAAAAAAACACTATTTATCCACCTTACTCTTCCAGATCGGGCCCCGGTTCCGGACCCAGCGTACCCGCCCTACCATGAGACGATCACCTCCACTCGTCTCCCTCATTTTGGCCACCAAATGGCCTATATTAGCCCGTGTCGGCCATAATGCCCACTCTCCCCAGCAATATTATTTTAGCCGGACATGATTTCTTTCAATAGGTGCGTATAATTGGTTGCGTTTTCTTAAAATGTATAACAATCATAATCATTGCTTATGGCATTTATCTTGCAGCTGTTTAGGATCTCATGCAAGCGGATAATTCATTAACTTCACAGGTGTGTATTACTGCTGCATATACTTATACTAATTGACACAGCGCATTAATTCCTAAATTTTTCTCTTAACTTATAGAATTAATTTTTTTTATTTTTTTACAACACTGAATGGAACAGACGACGAAACACTACAAGGATATTGCTAGTCGCCGCAAAAGAAACGCGCAATGAGGCACTTTAGAGGCAATCGTTGCCCCGATTTAGGAACAATGGCCCGCACAATTACTTAAAACTGGGTATGTCACGTATTGTATATTGTATGTATTAAATCGCTTAATTCTACCTTACCCTACCTAAAGAGCTCTCTGGGGGTGGTAAGGGGCGATATAAATGCGTAAATTCAAATTAGGTAAATATGTGAGCATAGTTCGCGCAAGAGTTAATTTTAGATTTTTTTTTTTTTTTTATATTTTACAGGCGCAGATGCATCACCGTTGGAGTTTTCCTCACCGTTCGCACTCTAAAGTGAAGCTCGGCGTAAGTGCCTATGTATGTATGAATATATTTTATAAATACAAATTAACCAAATTTAACGATAAAAAAAAAAAATCCACTCCTTTTCAGGGAGTGCAATTAGGAGTCTTCTTCTGACTCTGCCAGGGGCTCGAACGAGGATGGGCAAAACAATGGAACGGACTCACTCGGTGGATGTGGGCGGGGTCTCGCCTGTGGCCGCTTCTTCGTTGTTGGAGCCCGGTCGTTGGTGGCTCGTCTCGTTGCCTTCACGTTTGCGCCGACGCTTGCTGGCGGCGTCGCGGATATGGCTGGTTTGCGCCGCTGCACTGAATCCTGGCCTTGAATATTTCGTGGGCCTCTCTGGTGCGCGAGCTGGTCTCCTTGGTGCCGGAGCCGTTAATTTTTGGCTTATTTGGTTCGTCTCTCGTCGCACTTAAATTTTTAAGTCTCTTTTAATTTTTTTATTATATTTTCTTTGTGATTCGAGCGGTTTGATTTATGTAAATTTATTACATGGCAAAGAACACAAAAACAAAACTTTTATTCGTCTGTTAAGCCATTGGTATTATGTGCCGGCTTAATTTTTCAGAAGGGAAAAAATTTTACTCTGTCAAGCAGAAATGCAATGTCCAACTTTTTTGCTCACTTCGAGCTGGCACGCCCGCCGTTAACCGCTGAACAAATCGCACTCCTCCACATTTTTGGCAGCCACACCATCGGTGCCGAATTTCGGCACACGCATACATTTGCGAGGCGGGCACCGTTGCTGCTCATCTGCACAGCTGCATTTTTTTTGGGTCAACGGCCCAAATGAAGGCCAAGGGCATATCCAAGGGCATGCGATCCACTCTCCTCGTATTCCCTTTAAGAGCGAAACGGGCGGCCAATAGCAATCGTCGCTTTTGGCGCCGTGGATCGCATGTCTGGCGTTGCCACCCTTCAAAACTTTGGGCTCCGCCGTGGGCCCAGCTTCACCCCGCATACTCCGACCATATGCCAAAAAGATATCGGCGTGGCCGATAATATCGCACGCAACCAACTGAGTAACCCTCGGTGCTGCCGATAACGTCAAATGCAACAATTTCTTTGTACACCTGTCGCATAGCAACGATAAAAGGCATCAAACAATCATTGAAGGCGAATGAATTCATGGTTAACTGCAAGATATTTAAAAAATACCGAATATGAATATAGTAAAAGGCTGAAAGTGTAAATACAATTTCTCCAAGAATTTTTTTTTTTTTGGAGGCTCAAATAAATAGTTTTCACACTTTTTTCTGAATTTTGTATACCATTGCGCCCCGTCGTGCAGAAACCCGGCACGCGCCCTTCATTAATGAGAACGCAACATAATTTTCTTCAAAGCGTGTGGATGCATTGTTTTCTTATGCGCATCATGTATCGATATTTTTAGCACTTAAGCATTCGTGGGCACACTGAGCGTGAAATATTTGAAAGATAACTATTTCTTAATTTGAAATTAACTTAATGTTCGATCAAACACACATATCCAGCCTTATTCGAGCCGCTTTTCACCCGGCGGAGGACCCAACAATAAATGTCTTAAAAAAAAATTGTAAAAACAAGAATTTATAGTAAATCTGTTTGCGTTCATGCTAATGAAATTTGTAATTCCCCTTTTGAAGCAAATGTAAATATTCAAAAGAATGATTATGAAGTTAATAATTAATTGAAGAATTTTTTTTACTTAGCTCTTGGCAATTGTATTTAAAAAAAAATAAGAATTAAAATCGGTAGTTAAGTTAATAATATTTTAAACACCTAAATAAATTAAAATTAAACTGGGTGATCGTTTTATTTGTTGCTATCGAGATTGATTGCAAGCTCAATTCACTATGTTGGAATATTTATATATCAATTTTAAGGTCGAGTGTGTTTGAGTAAGGTTTTCGGAATGGCATTCAATACTGAATTGCAGACAAGGAGAGCAGTGACAGGAATAGAGGATAGGAATTCAACCCTTGCTAGCTCTCAAAATCGCTTGAGTGTAAAACGAAAAAGCCAGCAACAGTTTTTAACTACAATTTCATTCATGGCGCAGATGTGTGCGCGCACATTTTTACATAAATATACACATAACAGTATATACATATAAAAACCGAGCACCTACGCCCACGTATACTCAGTCCATCTGAGCCCGAACCCATATCCGAACGGAGGCCGAGGCGTGCATGGAATACAAACACACGTAAATCGAAAGAAAGTTAGTGTGCGAGCTTCTTAATTTTGTCAGGGATTGTGGATGCTGTGTGTTCCATTCAAGTCCAACCTATGCTCGTACATTTAGTTCAGTTGAAGTCGCGCGTAGGAAAAGTTCTTACTTATATTCATAGACTTCAAAATTCACAAAAGATCTGCATTTTTTTGTGTACTTATTACCCCGGTGAACTGAAAATAGATTCGATTTAATAATCATCACAGGCTGTTAATAAATGTAAGTAGGTTGGTGAAACAAACTATTTTCAAATTATTCATAAACCATACAACAAAAATGTAGTGTGTGTGTGTGCGTGTGTGTGTGTGTGTATGTGCGTGTGTGTATGTGTGTGTGCGTGTGTATGTATATGATTAAGGTCGATTAAGACTTAAGTCCTTTCGATGCAGCTACGCGATTGTATAGAGATATACGTATACACATATGTATGCTTGTATCTGTATGTGTGTACACTGATGTGTCAATGAATTGGTTGGTAATGGTGCGCATTTAAAAGTTGTAACCCAGTCGAAAACTGTGTAGGGTACACACACCCACCCTTGGGACTTTGCTGGAATATGTGTGTATATGTAGCCACATATACATATATGTAGCCAAATACGCATGCATTGATTGTATGTGTAAATGAATGTAATCTAGTATAGACATGTACAGAAGTGTTTGTGCTAAAAACGAAGTTTAACGTGCCTGAATGGATATTTTCTAACATTGTGGGTTACACCAATAAAAGACGAAGAAGGATTTCGATATAATTTACTAGGTTTGCCGTATAATTAATAACATATATTTGAATCTGTAACAATAACCATTAATTGTAGATAAATGTTTATATTTTTATATATATTTTTAAAGATTGGTATTTATATAAACTTGTCATTTATTTTCTGAAGTAAAACGCTTCCATTGGTCTCTACAGTTAAAAGAAAATGCCTGAGGCTTATGGTAAATCAACACACCAAAGGTATAAACACATCAATATCAACGGTATGGGGCTATCGGCGAAGAACATTTCTCATTTAATATACGGAAAAGCCTATAAATACCGCAGAAAAGTAATTTCCCTCTTATAAAAAAAGGCAATTAAATTCAATTCAATTCACTTTTCAAATAAAAGCACCAAAATATTTGTTTGTTCAGCACCTGCACCAATTAGTGTATAAAGCAAAATTTGCCAATTTAAGATACATTCGTAATATGTCTAAGTACCAAAATACATGTATGTATGTATTTTTTTTTTGTACACATTTGTATTTTTGTGGTATTTTTTTTAATATGCGTAGGGAGCAAATCTTATACTTTACAAATTGCTAAATTTTTAATGTAAATGTTGGATATATTACATGCAACATGTTATTTTAAATTAATTAATGAGTCTATATCAATATTAAAAAAAGAAAAACTTTAATAAAATCATTTTTCCGGGTATGTTCTCTTCAATACATATATATAAATATATTATATGTATGTGTATGTAATAGGGCATTTGCGAAAGAAATTCAAATGCTCAAATTAGAAAATCAAGAACTTTTAAGATAAATAGAATTCAATAGGTGTGAAGTTAATCAATACTCAGCTAACGATACATCAAACTTAAATATGAATATATTTAATTTATTTAAAGAAAAAATTGGGTACTGCTTAAAGTATTATTTTATTTTGCATGTTTTTGTAGAGTGTACTTTTTGTAAACATGCTGCTTAAAAGATTGTTTACTTATTTTCTTAAATATTTTCAAACGGCAGGAAAATTCGACGTATTTGAAAACATATCTTTTTGAAGCAGCAGCATTAATTGTTGGTCGTTTTATGAGTAACACGCATTGGTGGATTTTAACTAGATAGTTCTTGAAGATGCATTGTTATTATAGTATGGTAAGTGTATCTTAACTTAAGTTAGATTTATTCCTACAGCTGATTAATATGTGAGATTAGGCTTGCTGTCTCAAAGGCGTTAAAAATGTTAGAAATCGTTAAATAGTTTTTTTTAAGTGTTAATCGTGGTTGACGTGGCTGACGAGCTTTTATGCCGTCTTTACGCCCGCCCGCACACCTGTATGTCCGTCCGTCCTTCCGTTGATCTCAGAAATATTGACTCGAAAATTATAAGAAAATTATAATTATATACCAAAGTCCGTATACACACACAGTTGTACTATATTACCCTTGAAATTTACATAAGTTAGACTATAAGCACCTCAGCTTTTCAAGAATGCAATTTTCATAGTATAGGGAACTTTCAACTGGAAGACTGCTAACTGTTCGAATCTTGATATCTTGAGGGTTCTTTTATCAGGAAAATTGGCGGTCGATTCTAGATACGCAAGTCTGGGAGTGATAACACCTTAATATATTTTGACTAAATAATCCGACATAAAAGTTGTAATCGATTTAAGAACTTGGTAATGTTCAAATCTTTTCAGAACAAATACATTCACATATACATATTGATTATCTTAATTTACCTGACCCGGGGAAATGGAAATTTTTTAAATGCACGTAGCCGTGACTATGGGATGCAAAGAACTGCGGATAGCAATAAATTAGTCAAGGGCGAAGATGGAACACCAAATGTAAATACCGGGTTAGTGGAAGATGGCGGGGTAAGGGCTGTTGGTGAAGTGTTTGTTCCGAAAACTTTTCCAATGAGTTCGCAGGAGCCGTCATGTGAGCAACTACGTGCTATGTGGATGTAAGTTTTGAAATGGCCAAAAATCCACAAATATATTACTTACATAAAGAACTTACATAACATAGATTTTCCAAGAGACAATCTCGTGCAGCAGAAATAACAAACGAGATACCAACATACCGTGACCCTTTCACATATAATGTCTGGGAACCACTTTACTCCAACTCTCGCTTGCTCGGCTCGTAAGTTTGCCAGAATATGGTCATATGCATGGTAGAAATTGTAATTATTTTATCTCAAACGTAGACTGCGAATGGGCGCAAGAGAACGTGCTCGATCTCCGGTTTTTGGCCGTGTTGTCAGCCGTGAGCCAATTATTCCACAACGTGTAACCTTTGAACAACGCCAGCGCCATATGGATGGCAGCCAACCTGGTGCTAGTCAGGCCAGACTATATGGTGCTGAGATACGGCCAATAAATGCTGGATCGCCGGCAGCATCATCATCACCGCGCAGATCCAGCAAGAATCGACATGTGGGCGTACCAAGTAGCTCCGGCAGCCAAAACTCGGTGGCCGTACAGGGCAGCTTTCAAAAGCTGAAGGAACTCATCTGGACAGAGCGGGCCAAGGAGTTAACCCAACAACGTCGAGCCGAAGAGGTGGCAGCTCGGGCGGCTGTGCTCAAGGAAATCGCAAATGGGCAAAAGTATTATTTTATACGATTATTAGGTACCTTATTTGATCCCTAACTCTTCTCCTTCTCTCAGCATACAATCGTCTTACAAGTTGCCCTTCAATAACGCTGCAGATTCGATTCTGATGGATGAGAATCGAAGCCCCGATAGTAGCGGCAATCAATATTTAAGCGGTGATCGAATGTCCATTGCGAATATACAAAATTTTGATGCCAACAATAAAAATGGGGGCCACAGAAACGGTGGAGCTCGAGCCTCCACACGCCGCATCGGAAGTGCTTATGAAACGGGTACTAATGGCAATGGTCCAGCGCGTAAAGACTCCTTTTTTTCAGGCAACTCTCCTGCCGGTCAACCAAAAACAGTTTCTCGCCTGCGGATTCCACTGACCGAAATGAATCCGGCTGACTTAGCAGACAAACATCAAACCGTTATTGGCATACCACGGACATACCCTATTCGCCAATCCCATTTTAGGGAAAGGAATCGATCACTTTTAAAACAGGTAATAGTCTTAAAATGCAACCCTAATAGCTAGAAGATTGCATTTTTGTAACCTGAACCCATTAAGAAAGGGGTTACAAAAAAGGCTATAATGATCTCCTAGCCGGACACTTTAGACTAGATCACTTTTACTTTAAAAAGGCTAAGCTGTGCATAGTCGACTATTTTGCATACATTCAAAATTGTATATTTAACTCTTTTTTAGTATCCGCCAAATGAATACTTCGAAAGGAACACACGAATTTTGAAGAGTTTGCAGTTTGGGCCTCCGACAGAGCTTTCGAAAGTAAGAGGAGATTTCAATGACAACTATTTGAGTCCCTACGCATCCATCGAGTATGGCCTGAAACCAGGTATCAATGGTCTAATTTATTTTGGTAATGATCCAGTAAATGAGGCTGAGTTAACTGCTTTGTCGCCCCAAATAGAAAAAACTAATCAATATGAGTATGATTTCTACAACAATAACGGATATTAAAGTATTTTTTTTTCTCAAAACTTGGACAATAAAAAATAACTCACCAACTATGGTGCAATAGCTATATATATACAATTTTATGTGAACTTTTTACAATTTAATTTATTTTTTTTTTGGATAAATGTAATTATTTTTCCTGCTTTGTGGCTATAGCTGATGATTATGAGGTGTGTGTAGTTTAAATTTAAACGTGTAAATACAGAATACATATTAATTAGCATGAGCATACCTATAACAGGAGAAACGGTTGTCAATTTATATATATATGTTTAAGAACTAAACAAAATTGGTACGCCCGGTGTATTATGTACCTACATTACATATATAACTATGTATATACATACATATCCAAAAGAAATATAAAACCGAAAATATGTCATAATTACGCGAAAAAACGATATCGAAATCAGTTCAAGTAGACATTTTTAAAGAAGAATCAGAAAAGAAAAGAAAGTATTTGTTTTACATTCACATTAACATTCACCCGTTACTTTATAACACTACTTAATATTTAAATAACATGAAGTGTGCTTACCAACATTGGCAACACATGCCATATTTAACAACAGCAAAACTAGCCCACATCTACAACGGATAATATACATATATATAGAACTATTATCGTTTGGTATATTCTATAAATATAAATATCAATATCAAATGTATGTATTTTTCTATACACAAAAGAGTCTGTTATCAAAATATAACAACCTTGGAAGTCCTTACAATCTTTGTTAAGCTCGACAAATTATTTTTGCAATAACCTACTTGTCTAATGTTAAATGTTAAAAATGATTTGATATCACATATTTCTATTTTAAACCTCCATACTCAAAAAAAAAAAAAAAAAAAAAAAAAAACACATCTACCAAAAACCTTGCCAAGAATTACACCAATATCTTACGATTAAATATTCGACGTGAAAGTATATTCATATTTATTTTAATTTCCTATTTAGAAATAATAAAATGCTTCCAATATAAAAACAATCATCAGTATACACAAGAGAAATGCCAAAGCAAATTTCGTATCCTTATACAGATTTATAACAAGGTACGGTTAATTGACGAAAACTGGTTTTTAAAAAGCCTAGATCATAAATAAAATTAAATATGGCAATAGGCGGCTCAAAAAGAGTACCTCTATAAACATTTCAGCAAAAATATATTGTTTTTATTATTTACATATAATACGATCAATGTATTAGCTAGTTGTTTCTTATACAGACACCTGGTATGGTAATACCTACATACATATGTGTATAATCTAACTGTGCCTGAACTAAAAACACGTTAACTACTTAACTTAAAACAATCAAAATGATCATTAAAAATAAAAAAACAAAAAATTAAAAGAAATATTTTATTTGATTTATGTAATTGTTTAATTTTACCTAACTTATGGTTTTTGCTACTCGTTGCATACTATATTTGGTCAGCCTTTTTTATAAATATCAATTCAGGAAATGTCACTTATTATATAAAATAAATGTCAATTTAACATATCGAACTTATCCAAAGTACTTGTGCTACCTATATTAATAAGAGACTAATAATTGTGTACTAATCAACTATGTACCACTTCTTGGCTCAACAATGTGTAATATTTATGAAAGCGAGTATTTAATATCAAAAAAATTTAAAATACCTATATACTTATATACACAATTATTGCAAGCATGCCTGATTTTATTAACCGTTATGTATTTTATTGTTTAGATACTATTGTGTACAAGTATTGAATAAGGGCATTTACCCATACACACTCGCTCACACACAAACACACACACACGCATACATACAAAGGGATACAGTATGAAAATGTGTTGATGTGTTGATGCATACAAAATTGACAATAAATCTGTAGTTGTGAGTTCCGGACAATAACAAAACATTTTTGTTATATATGTATATACATACATATAATCTATATAATATATATATTAACTTGGATGTATGATATGCATATTAACATGAATATATATTGCAAATACATAGTATTGAATAAAAAGTAAAATTGTCTACGCATGGTTGATGTTTTTGAATAATGCCGAAAGCAAGAACCTAATAAACATTAAAAGTAATTAACTAAGAAGTTATTGTGAATCTTATTGTATATTGTAAACGAATCTAACAAATATAAAAATTCGGATGAAAATAACGATTGTTTTAACTGCGAGCCCCTCTCAACTTTACCCATATATCCTCATAATCCATCATTATGTATGAGAGTTATGATGGACGGTGGCTGAAATGGAACAGTCTGTAATGATTTCATTGACTTGTAACTACAGTAATATTGCAGATGTTTAGATAAAAACAAGAAAGAGGTTCTAGTTGGGAGCTCCCGACTAGGAAATACCCTGAACCCTCTTATTCCAACACCAAATGCAAATATATATACTATTCTAGAAGCTACATGTCAAGTTTGTGACTCTAGCTCTTATTATTTACAAAAATTGCTCAAAAAACAGGATGTCGATTGTTATCGATTACTTAGAAACGGGGCAAGTTATCGATTATCGGAAACAAACTCGATCTGCGCAGGCACTAGAAGGACCCACATCTAAAATTTCTCAAGCTCTTATAGGCTCCGATATCTTTGCGTTCATACATCGGACAGACGGACGGACGGACAGACTGACGGACATGGCTAGATCGACTTGGCTGTTGATGCTGATCAAGAATATATACTTAATGGGGTCGGAGATACTTCCTTCTGCCTGTTCTATACATTTACATTTTGCGCAAATACTATATACCCTTTTTTCCCAGTTTTTAATGGGTTCAGGCAACGACAATATAAACACATTCTATTTTTAGCTTTTTCGTTCTCTCGGCTGTGAGAGCGCAATGCTATTGATTTCGTTTTCGTTCTCAATTTTCAAAAAATCAAGCTGCATAGTAGCATTTTGTTGTATGGCGTTACTCATCTTAGTGTTTATATTGTCTTTGGTTCAGGGTATAAAAACAAGATAGCGTATAGCTTACAGCGAGAATAGTTAATGTTTATTTTGTATGAAAATCGAATAATTACCTTATTTCTCTGGGCTGGACAAATCTTATATTTAACAATATAAATATAAATAATTACAAATTGAAATTAATTTTATATTTACCGACTACACATACCACCATATATACATACTTTAAATATTTCACGCAATATGTACATAGAGCTAGAGCTAGAGTCTGAATACCTATGTCAGAAAATATTTCAACGATAACTTGATGTGAACTTTATTTAAACTGAATTCACTCTAGGGTTATTAATACTTCATATGGATATTGGTGAATGAAAGATTTTTCTCAATAGGATACATTTTTCCTGAACTTACAGCTGTGTAGCATATCCTAATCAATTCAAAAATATACATAAAAGTATGTTTAATGTCCATAATAAAACAAGTGTACGACTGGAAGATACCTTGTACATTTTTAAGCACTCGATTGTTTTCTAAACCGTAACGCTATACTCCTCCTGACACTCTCTATAGTCTTTATTCACTTGAGCGTTTTTTCTATATGTAATTCGGATATTAGTGAATGAACTTCTCCTTCTGCTTCTCATTGGGATCCATTTTCCTGAACTTCCAGCTTCCTTGACCGTCAAACTCAAGAATGTGCGTGTGGAATTTCCTAATAAATACATAAAAAAATTACATCAAATAACTACTTAATACGAATATATAATTATGTGTTATACTGAATCAATCAGTTGTACTTATCAGCCATTTTATATTTTATATATCTTACCACAGGGTTGGTCTATGTGTTATTGTCAGAAGCGTGATGCCCATCTTCTTGGCAATGTCATAAATCGAGCTCTCAACGTCAATGGACACTGCACTCGTACACTCGTCGAGAAGCGCATAACGCGGCCTTAAAAAAAAAAAGAAGCGGATTAAGTAATAATCACAATATCAATACAGAAATTCATTTCATACTAACTTGTGATAAAATAGACGAGCCACGGCCATTCGTTGTTTTTCTCCTCCGGAGAGAATGTCTTTCCAATCGCGCACAACATCAAAGCTGTCACTGTAAGTATACATAAGTATAAGTATTTTATTAACAGATTTTAATATTTTTTATTTTATTTTATTATTATTTACTTACCGTTGCGCAATATGCTCGAGCGTGACCAGTTTTAGAATGTTCATTAGCTCATTTTCGGTGATGCCTTTACGTTTCATATCCTCCCGTGTATCCGGATATATGATTTGATCACATAAGCTGCCAATGGACATATAGGGTCGCTGGGGGATGTAAAACATGCAGGGCTTGTTTTCGACAGGACGCGGTATGTGCAGCTCTCCGGCATAGATTGGCCAGAGTCCGCTTAGAATGCGGAACAGGCTGGATTTACCACAGCCATTGGGGCCCGTTATCAAGAGATGCACTCCGGGCTCAATGCAGAGAGTCAAACTTGGCACAACAATATCACAGTTGGGGGTAACGACCGGTACAGACCGGAGACAGATCGACATATTGCCGGGATCATCCGAGTAAATAATGCGACCCTTGGCTATCGGCTTGCCTTCGCGGAACTCTATGATACCGTTCATTTCCTCATTCGCGACCAGGGTGGCCTTGCTGTAAATTCCCTGTGCAGTCTCCTCGAAAACATCCAACATTCCAGCCACTCTGTAAGTGTATCCGGCCAATGCCACAACCTCCTTATAGGACGACATCAAACGCTCGATAGCATCCGCTGCCGATATGAGCAGATTTCTGGCCGTCGTCAGATATTGGGTACGCTCGCTCACACTCGAGTCGTTGACCTCGGCGGTTATGTGGGTATTATCTGAGTTTTTGGATACAGCCGTACCCGTTAATATTGGCAGGGAAACCATTACCATTCCTGTGCCGGACCATACGTATTTCATGAAAAACTGCTCCAGCATTATAAACCAAAGCTTTTGGCTAAATATGCTATTCATTTGATTCACGAGTCGATTGTATGCGGTGCGCAGCTGCTGCAACTCCACCTAATTGTTAAAAACAAAAAACAAAATTTCATTGTTATATAATTATAACATTTTGTAAGGTTTGAGAATAATAGAATCAAAAACAGATATTCAATATTCACTATTTGAATCACATACAGACACACATACACATATAGCATGTTTACAATTATTTTATACGAAGGGGTTAAAGTATTATTTATATGTGAGTGGTCATGTGTGTGTATACACGGTGGAGCAGGAGGAGGTGGGGCAAAGGAAGAAACTAAGTAGATATGTATGTAGATGTGTATGTATATATGTGTATACATGCATGTATTTACATATGTGTGTATGTACATATGTATGTATGCACATATGTATGTATGAATGTATGTATGTTCATGTATGTATACATGTATGTATGTATGTATGTGTGTATGTATGTATGTATGAATGCATGTATGTACTTATAAATGTCTCACATGTGCACATACATGCATGTTTGCATATATTCGAAGTCAACATTCATGTTTGCATATATTCGAAGTTAACATGCATGTTTGCATATATTTGAAATTAACATGCATACATGTATGTACAAACTGGCAACATATATGTAGGTACGTATGTATGCAGGTATGTAGGTACCCCGACATGTATTCTTTCATGTGCGCATGCATGCATGTTTGCATATATTCCAAACCAGCATGCATACATATATGTATGTACAAACTGGCTATGTTTGCCATATATATATATATACCATATGCAAATTTAAAATATATTTAAAATTAGATGTTAAATGATATTTAAATAAAACATAAGCATTAATACTACAAGCTAATTGTCAATCAGTACACAATCAACTGTACAATCCATGTATATACCTTGTGTCCTCCGTAAAATGCAATTTCCTCCGCATTTGTTATAATACGTGAATGGATATGCCTAAGATAGCCATAACGATTCGCCTCCTCCGAGACCAGTTGTCCAAATTTCGGCGACACAATACGTAATATGTGAGCGGTAAGCGCAATGACACTCACAGACAGAGCTGGGCCTTTAAATATGAAAACAACAATCATAGTTTTAGTAATAGACCTTGCAAGCAGTCGCGTCATAAAAATTGCCTGATAAGATATTGGCCTTCATCTTTCTGGAGGAGCGCATTAATGCCAAGCCAATTAACATTAGATCAAAACAAGGTTTAGTCAAGCTACTATACAAATGGGCCACGGAGCTGGCAAACACTGAAATATCCTCGGTAAGTCTGTAAAATTTTAAAAATTAGTATAACATTATTAACATTAGAAAACATGTTATTATTATTGTTTTACCTGTGATCTGCGTTCTCGATGCGTCCGTCAAGATTCGATACTCGATAGTAATTTTGATTCTTGAAATACAATCGATACGAGTGACGCACCAAACGAGTCCTGTTCGAAGTAGGCAATGTTCAAAGATTTACATATTGAAATATATAATTAAATATATAATATATGAGACCCTACTAATAAAGTCAAATAAATCTATCTAAACCTTCAACAGCTCGCGCTATAGTGGTGTATAAAATGAATTGTGTATATTAGAATCTCAAGTTTGGTCTCTTAAGAGCTAAGAGATTTTCTCAAAATAAGATTTTTATATCTTTTTATCGATTAGTTGAAAACGACACAAGTTATCGATAATCGCAAAAAAAGCTCGTTCTGCGCAGATAACAGGCGATTAAAAATTTGAAGTCTCTATATAAAATAATTGGTTCTGAGATCGAGCGACATAGTGTTAGATCGACTCGACTGACGCTGATTAGGAATATATATTTATATACCTTAAAGCCTCGGAGATGTTTTTCTCTCTGCCTGTTTCTTAAATTTTCACTGGGTTTCAGAGCATGAAGATATGAGTATCGGACTCGTTCGAACGATATCATTTTTCGAATATCCAAAACGTGTTTCGGTTGACCCGTTGTAAGACTCTGGTACTTACCGAAACGCCAAAGCTAGTTTACTCTCCAGAAATCGTATCATTGAATTAACAAATGTGGCTGGGATCGCAATGCCAAACCATTTCATCAATACAAGAGCGAACTGTTTCACATCCTTTCGCACGATAAACTTAACAATAGCTCCTTCCAATGCCGCCACATAAATGCTGAGGAATGTCCTGGATATTAGGCACAAGGTGTGTACGGTAAGGAGTCCGGTTTCATAGCACAGCTTGTGCGGTATCATGATCCTAACCAGCATGCCAAGCTGCTTAAGAAATTCCTTATTAAGGCCCGGCTCCAGCATTTGTTTATTTTTCATCTTCAATTGCTGCTCCACCAGCAGTTTCTCGGCCTCGGCCAACTTAGACTCCTCGTCCGTAGCATCGATCTCTAAAGGTGTGAGCGCACCCTTGCCGACATTCGATTTTCCATTTTCATCCTTTGCGCATTTGATATTTTTAATATATGGAACTGTTACCTTGATTGTTAATGCAAATAGGGCCGTTCCCACCAGGGCGTAACTGAATGCCTGATTTGGGAGTCCGGATTGTTCATATTTTTCCGCTATACGGTCGACATATTTCGAGAAGACGGTCATATTTATATCCAAATTTTATGATTTATTTAATATGTATTTAGTATATCGAATTAGCTAACGCCAAAGTGTGTGTGTTTTTTTTTTTTTTTTGGAAAACACACAACTCAGAACGGTGTTTTAATTTTCACACTGAAAATAAATAAAAAAACACAGCTCACATAAAACATTTATCAGAATATTGGAATAAGCATTAATCATTTTACTGACTGAAAATGATATATTATATATTATTGGATGGCATATTCAAGCCCCGAATTCTGAAGATGGGATAATAAACTCCGAAGCTAAAGGTAGCTTAGTGCGGGATTCAGGGTATTTTTAGTCTGTTAAATTAACATAAATATTTTCTAAACTTCATCTGTACATAGTTAATAACAAATTTTGTTTAAATATTGATCAAGCTGTTGGATTTTTATAGCGACATCCACATTAATTAAAATTACTAGACTTATTTATTTTAAAGGAGGGTTATCCTCTTCAAGCACATACAGCACGAGTTCCGAAGGCCTAACATTTTTAATTCTAGAAGGCCACAATATCAGTTTAAAATTCACATTTTACGGCGTACAATTACGTAGAAGCAAAAATATCATCGCAGGACTATAACAACCATAACGAACCTTGCACAAAACTAGTCTAAACCGATTCTATTGCTTGGCTTAAATAATTGGCATCTGGTAATGCGATTACTTACGCGTATGCTAAAGGTCTTGACTAGCTCGCAATCTCACTAAAAATAAAACATTCAAATGGACTTAGTATGTTTTATGGTGTTGGGTTTCACAAACATGGAACCAAGGGCTTATTCGCACTAACACGGCCGAGAATTATAAAATAGCCCAAACAATAAGTACCAAAAATTTTGTAAACTTCAATTAAATAATCAATGAAGTTGATAACGCCCCTGGATTATAGATTAGATTAGCCTCAAGAACAAAAAGCATTTTTCGCATACTTCTTTCCGGGTTGAAATAGCGATAATTTAAACAATTTCGCATCGGCATGGCTAAAGTCAGTTTTAAAGCGAAACCAATGAAAGAGTTAAATGTATTTTGGGCTGACCTCATCCATGTGGATCCAGATTATTTTATATAGTAGATTCATTAAAAATTGAGTGTTCTCTAGTAGGAAGTGTCCGACTAGGAGGTACCCTGAACCCTGCCATGATATAGAGATCTTGACAAAAAAAACGAAGGAATAAAACATAGTTATGACTGATGAATGCATTGATAAAAATTACCATCTATCTCTACGATTCGCAAAAATTCAAGGCTCTATGTAGATGTAATTTTAGTTAATGAAAAATGTGATTAAAATTAACGGGCGCCGTTCTACGCGATTCAAAACATAAGTAAGGCCCTTAGACAATATTAGTCAGCCGATTCGATCGATTCCAAAATAAATATACCCCACTCCAAAAAAAAGCATCTGTACGAAGTTGACGATAGCTTCAAAATTAAATGGGTAAGTTGGACAGAATCAGTCGAATGAACTACGTGGTTTCTGCCTGTCGTCTGTGTAAGGTCGGAAATATCATCTCAAGTCTGTTAAACTTTGCCTGAAAAACCCACTAAAATTTTGAGCTATTGACGTAAGCAGGTCAATTTGGTTATTCGAATTTTGCACCCTGGTCTCGGGCAAATTGGATTACACGCTTATACAGATAAATGGCCTTACATATGAATTTCTAATGAAAGAAAGGTATACAGAAATATACTTTAGTCTGATAATAATAATAACAATCGGCTTAGGAACGAATAATTTTCTGATTAGCCAACGGAAGTTGATAGAAATTGACGACAGTTGAACTTTGCTACTTGCTGTCGTCTAGGCACGAAGGTCTTGGAATGTTGAATTTTATAAAAATTTATTTATTTTATATTCAAAAATCAACTTTTCAAAAATGCAAATAAAGAAAACACATCTTCCCCTAAAATAAAAAATATATTAATATAATAATATTGAAAAAATATATATACTTGAATTTTTGCATAAACATAAACATAAATAATCTCAAATAAATTATATTAATAGGAAATGGCAACCGAAAACTTTTTGAAACTCTAAAACTCGAGCTAAAATTTAAAATTGTCAAAATAACAGTTTTTTTACATTAATATTATAATATTTAACGCTCACCAAGTATAAGCAAAATATCTATGGATACGTAACTTCAAGAGTATTTTTTAATACTGGGCACTCTGGGCACACTGTTCTTACTTTAATTTAACACTAAGAAAAGTCGAAAGAAGTTGTTTTGTTTTTTGCGTCGTGTATATGTTCTGTAAATAAAAATGTTTATTTCCGACCAATTGTTCCTATTGAAGCTATATGATAAATAGCAATATAGACAAATAAATGCAATAGAGGAATTGCAAATATGTTACGAGCTTATTGAAGCTCGTAAGTGCCAAGTTTGGTTGAAATATCTTGAAAAACAAATATGATTTTCCGCCAAACACTTTATTTTCGACCTGTCTTTTCAACTAAAATACGGACTTGAGCGAAATTTTACTTATTTATATATTGTTTATGGGGTCGAGTATGGCTCTATGCGTCAAACGGGAACCACACCGGTTAGAACTTTTCCATATTTTCAACTGCTTACAAATTCAGGACCAGGTAGTTCAAAATATCGACCTCCCAATGCATAAGCGCTAGTAAATTACATGACGTGAATATATATGAACCCATACGTAAAGATTTTGTTGCTTTAAACATTATTATTTTGTTTATGAGAGCAAAGTGCGTGTCGCGAATCTTAAAGCCTTCAGCTTTTTGTCGTGCTCGAACAGCTGATTCTACGAGTACATATGTTTTACGGTGTGTGCATTAATGTTGTGCTTTACGTGATAGTATTTGTTTTGCACTTTGTTTTCTCTATGTTCTCTATGCACTGAAATTCGTATGTCTCGATTACAAAATATTTTCTTGCGAAAAGCTTGAATAACGACGCGCAGATAAAGCTAAACCAATGCATAACTGAATCAGAGTACAGGGAATGGAATTAACAATTTAAATAAACATACTTTAACAAAACACTCGGATACACAATTGTTAAAAGTAAAACTATAACAATTTCAACATAAATATATATATATATATATATATATATATATATATATATATATATGTATATAAACCACTTAATTATTTATTAAGTTCTGCCCAAGCATGGCAACGCAACAAAAACACGACCGAACAATGCGAAAGCTTAAAGCTTAATGTTGTATGTACTTATGTACTTACTACGGACTAGCTTAGTTTTCCGTTTTTCTTTTGATGCCACAATCAAAATAAATGCATGTACTTCCTTTCATATATGTATATATATACATGTATGTACATGTATAATGTACCGCATATACATATAAGAACATCAAGCCCATGAAATTGTTAGTATTCATGCAAGTACATATATACATAGCCTGCAACTTTTAGATGAATTGTATTTTATTGTCATAAACAAAACAATTATTTCTATACATATGCAACTAAATACATATGTACATATGCATGTGTATGTATATACATGTACATGCAAAACCGGAAAGTTTAAATATAAGAGTTGAATTATAGTCAGCGTTACTAAATCAACATGTGTTCTTATGTATAAATCTGTGCATACATATGTATATGGGTGTATTTTTTTTGTAGGTATTGTATATATAATTCGCTTTTACACGTTTAAGTAAGTCAGTGAATCAGAAACTGTTGGATCTGAGCCGTAACACTGGATTTTCTGAATAAAAACCGACCCGAGGCAATAGTTTTGAGTTAAGAAAGCAATTCAAACACATTATTACATAAGCGCTTAAGAATATTAAGTACATATTCTAATTGATGATAAGTAATAACAATTTATAAGTTTCCTAAATTTGTAATTTACTACAAATGCACTTACAAATTTTATCCATAAGGATAAACGCAGCCACCTACATATATAGAAAATAAATTTCAGGTTAGAAAAATTCCATGCAAAGTGGAACGGACAATTGAAAACTTTTTGCTAGCCAACTTTTTCGAGCTCAATTTATAATAATTACATAACAATAATTAAAATTTTTTTTTAAATATATGTATATAGTATTATTGCGGGTCAAAGGTTAATAATATTAAATATAAATTATTATAATACAACTATACAAAAAAATGAAAAATTCCAAAATTGTACAGAAATATTGCGTATATATCATTTTTAGAAAACGTAAAGAAAGGGCGCAACAAAATCGAAAGTCATGGACGAAAGCAACAAATCCGAATCCGATTCCGAGGTAAGAAAAAACATTTAATATCAACTATAATCAAAATTCTGCTATATCGATTTCATTTTAATTGTTCTGTTAAATAAAACTTAAAAAATAAATAAATAAATAAAGTGATAATTATAATAATAATACATTTAGGAATTTTTTGATGCACTCTCCGAGCAATTGGATATGACACCCTTTGAAATGGACTTAAGAACTTCGCTGGAGGAAGCAAAGCTAGCTATAGATTATTTCTTTGACAACAAGTTCGAAGAAGCTCGAACTCTGCTGAAGCCGTTTTCCGGTTCGAGTTTATACCATTCAATGGGTACGGCCACATTTTCATTTCTGGAGGCAATGCTAACATTTGAGCATATTGATGAGGCATCGGCAGAGCTGAAAAAGTGTGTCGAACTCTGTCAACGTTTTCGAAAGAAAAACACCTTAACGGAAGCGATTGGCAATACTTTTAAGAAGGTGAATCTTTACTAATATATACAAATTTATATTTATAATGTGTATACTAATTTACACCTAATCCTACTTTCAGAAAAATTTCAACAGCCTCACAGACCTGGAATGCCATGCTGAGCTCTGCATGGCCGAAGTGCTCCTGATGAGTGCTCTACTCACCTTTATCGAGGACGAGAACCTCAGCGGACTAATCCGGGGCAGTCTGCGAGTTCGCCAGTGCTATAATTGCTTCAGGTATCACGTTCTGCCATAGAAGAGATTCCGATTTTTTTGCATTCAAATTTAACAATTGTTTTTTTTTCAGGTTTTGTGCACAAATAATGAAGCATCGAAAGTGGGATTCGAGCTCAATGACTGTGAGAAATCATTTTAGTAGCGGAGTACACATGGGTATCGGCACCTTTAACTTAATGATGTCCATGCTGCCGGTTCGCATTGTTAAAATACTGCAATTTATAGGATTCTCGTCAAACCGGGTAAGCTTGATTAACATATAATTTAAAAAATATATTTCAAAAATATGAAAAGTAATCCCATTTAGAACTATGGCTTACACGATCTGCTTGCAGGGTACCAGGAGAACGGATTGCGGCAAATACTTTGTGCTTTATCCCTGCTCGGTTACCATTTGATGGTGTTGCCCATGCTCAGCGAAAGGCATTCCCTTGAGGACCTGCGCATATGCGACGAGATACTTACCTCCCAATTGGCCAAGTACCCAAACAGTGTTTGGATGCTCTTCTTTAAGGGACGATTTGAGTTGGTCAATGGAAATCTGGAGGGAGCTGAGTCCTGGTATTTGCATTCTTGGAAATCGCAGGAAGTTTGGCCCCAATTTCACTATTTGAGCTTTTGGGAACTACTCTGGATCAATTGTATACAACAGAAATGGGACAAAGCCCAATTTTATGCCAACCAATTGCTCGAGCAGAGCAATTGGTCGCGCGCGATATACGCCTATCAATTGGCTGCCATCAAATTAATGTCATGCCCAGGATCAGCTGACAATCTGAAGCAAATTGATAAATTGATGACGGAGGTGCCCACGTACAGGCAAAAAATTGCCGGCAAGTCGTTGCCAATGGAGAAGTTTATGGCGAAACGTGCCGTAAGATATAAGAGCCAGAACGAGCGTCTGATTTTGCCCCTGATAGAGCTGATGTATCTGTGGAATATGTTCAAATTCATTGGCGGGGATTACCAGATTGCCGATGGCATTCTACAAATCATCGACTCGGAATTTGCCATGATTAACAACCCGGGAGTAAGCCCTGCTACAAATCTATACTTCGCCGATAATCGCGCATTATGTCTTCTGTTACGTGGATCTTGTTATGTACAAATGGGCAAACCCTCGTTGGCTCTTCAGTAAGTAGACATAAGAAAATAAATAATCGTAGATCTTTATGTGAATGTGTATACGCTCTCCCCTAGGGATTTTTGTGAGTGCATTGCACAAAGTGGCATTGTCGAGGATCACTTTATTATCCCGTACGCTTACGTGGAGGCTGCACTTTGTCACGCATCGGAAAATCGGTCTCTGGCTATATCCATGCTACAAGATACCAAGTAAATGCATCAAATGAAATTTATTCCTACTTAATTATACCCTGAACCAACTAAAAATGAGTAAAAAGATATAATATATTTGTAACAGGCGGAAGGAAGCATCTCCGACCCTATAAAGTATATATATTCTTGATCAGCATCAATAGCCGAGTTAGAAGGCCCTCCTGCTGTCCGCGCTGTACGAGTTTGTTTCCGATAACCGATAACTTGCCCCGTTGCCAGATAGCTATAAATAAAAAAAAAATAACCAATTTATAACTGTTGTTGAAAATGTCAACAAGACCGGTTAAGCTACACAAAAGTTATGCGATTGTATTGCTTTCTGTGCTGCCATTTTAATCCGTTTTTCTCTCATTAATTCTCAATTGTGGGTTTGTCTGTTGGGTAGAGGAATATGCAAGATCACATTAAGGAAAAATTTATTTTGTTTTTGCATTTATTTTTATGGTGCTGAAGCAAACGAAGAGGGTTTAGGGTATTCCCTAGTCGGTGCTACCGACTTAAGCCTCTTACTAGTTTTTAATATGTTTAATCTATTTACATTTAAGAAAAAAGTTCTCTAAATTCGCATTAGAGTCTCGACTACACTTTAGGATACATATGGCTCTCATGGATCTCAATGGCAACTTGGATACCCACAAATAGTTAAAATTTGTGTGCTTTTTCTTTTAAATTGTCTTGCTTCTTGTTTTATTTCCTTTCAATTATACATTTTGTATTAAACGATCGGGCGATGGTCAATAAAAGTATTCAAATATCATAATAAATATTTTGTATATTATTCACGTCAAGCCCTGAAATGCTATATCTTAGTCGCAAGTAGTTAAGTTTATTCATAAGATACATGAAGTCCGGCCCTAGATTATGGAAATCGAGCAACAGGTTGTTGGGCATGGGAAACATATATTTCAATAAATTATTATTTAGTTTATATGTACGTAGTTATTTTATTATAAGAGTAATTCTTTCATATACATGCAGTTAATTATATGTATACATATTTCTCTATAATGTAAGAAGCATAATAATTAGGGGAATACTTTATATATTTATTATTATCTTTTATTATTATATTGTAAAAGTGTGTGATGTGTTTATTGTGTTTATAATATGTAGTGCCATAGTAGGATCCATGTTATAATAAATTTTCGTTTTTGCTATCTGCATTCTAGTATAGATACTTTGTAATGGTGATGATACGGCATCCTTAAAAGCACAATTATGTATATATGTATCTATGAATATAAATGTTTTATTTTTTAAATCAATTGAATTTTACATTTAAAAATGCAGAAGCCTTATCTAGTCAGTACTATTTATACGTAAGGATTAACATTGTTTGTGTGATTTTATACACCATTTTTGTATCCAAAGGAATAGCTTAATACTTTACATAATAAATAAATGTACATTCGGTAAGCATGTGTTGGGCGATCGGAATTCGTGTCACAGTTAATTAATTAATTAATAAATTTTTATAAAAATCTGCATTAATTCGGCAGCTCTATGTTGATATTATTATTAACGCTCCGTGCTACATGAATGTATGAATGTGTTTATTTGTAACAGCATTTTCTTGCTTTTTTTACTTGCATTTTATAGACTTAACTTATATTCTAGAAATTTCAGTTATTAGAGCACCTGCGGACGCGCTGTAGATAGCCTTTCAAAGTTGAGTTTTATAACGTCGACCGACTCTTGTTATCTCTCTCTCTCTTAGGCTGATTGAATAACGATTAAATTTTGGATATTCAAAAGATCAGCATGGCAATGGCTTAAAATATAACGCAATTAATTAACATGTATTTATGTTTTCAAATAAACCGTTAAGAGTTTAAAATTTTAATTAAAAAAGAATTAAATTAGAGTGAGAGGGTGCCATATTCAAACATACTTATATAAACCTAATATAATTACTACTTTTTCTAAAAGAACCGAAAGAATTACATTTGTTTGTTACATAGACATGTACTATGTGAGTAAAAGAGCATTAATGAAATAATTTTGTCGATGAATGCATTCAGAATATTGTTTACAATTAACAGTTTGAATACAATAATTAAACTTACATTAAATGTAATTACTTAATACTAGACAGTATATATATATAGACATTATATATATATATATATATATATATATATATATATATATAATTATTATGTATGTTGCAACTGCTATAAAAATCTATGCTGTATGTATTTAAACTCTATTTAAGCTGTCAAACGGTAAAACGCTGCTACCTGCATTAATTTATAAACAATAAATAAAAACAAATTAATGTGTGTTGAAATTTTGCATCTAGCAAATTATGCGAATATATATTACAGTATATACAAAATATATATAGATATAAGTATTGATATTTTGCGATTCAAACGTCTCAATTGCAGCAAAATTTTAGTATGAATACTACGTTAGTTTACTTAAAAGTTTTTTTTTACATTTTAGGATATTGTTTGTAAAGAATATATATATATATATTTATACATATATATATATATATATATATATATATATATATATATTCATTACAAACAATATATATATATATATATATATATATATATATCGTTATTATTAATATGTATATCACAAGTTTGAAGAGAGTAGAAAGTGGCGAATTAACTACAATTGGCAGTTAGCGGCGGCGTCGGCGGCACTCGACCGATAGAGATTAGAATCGAGAATCGACATATCTTATCCATGTGTATATATGAATGAATTACCTAGCAATCGATGCCATTAACATTACTACAAATTTGCGATAAGGCGTTGGACACGCTGCGATTCTGCTGATGCATCACACCATGCTGCGGCTTGCCATGTTGGGCATTGACATCCTCGTTGGCGCGAAAGCGCAAGAAACCCTGGTCGGCAACAATCATGCTATCCGAGGCACTTGAAGGTGATGCTGATGCGGATCCGGATGCGGATACTGTTGCTGAGGAAACAACGTTCGGCTCCAACTCACCGGGGCTTGGCACACTGGCGGCGGCTGCTTCCTGCTGCTGCTGGCTGCTGTGATGCAGATGATGTGTAGATTTTGAATTATTTTGTTCATGCAGGTGTTGTGCAGAGGCTTTGTTAGCACAAAGTGGATTTGATGTGATGCTGTTTTCGCTAGCTATACAATAACCATGTTCACTGTTGCTTATCAAATTGGTGCACTCTACATTACTGCCTGATATTATATCGTCGTCTTCCTCCTCATCCTCCTCCTCGGAATTGTGATTGTACTGCGGATGTTGTTGCTGCTGTTGTTTAATTTGGTGTTGTTGCTTGAGCGTTAATGCATTGCAAATGCTGGGTGACAATTCGAAATCATTTGAGGCTAATGCACGATTTATGGTATTTAGTGTACGTCCACCCCTTTGAAAATAGTGCGAACGTTCTGTGTGTGCCAATGTCTGTGCACCATTTACTCTTTTACTGGCCGGTACAACACTTATTGCACGCCCAGGACCAGAACCAGGACCAGTTGCAGAGCCTTTACCCGCACCGGTGGCTCCTCCCATGCCCGATCCATTAACAATGTTGTTCAGAGTGCCGCTCTTTCGCACCCCCCCATTGTAATAGGCGCTGCGCTCGTATGAGTTGTAGCTGGCGTAACGGATGCCATTTGAGGATGAACATGAATTTGTTGAATTCGAACTGCGTCGCTCCGGAATTTCAAATGTTGCAGCATCGGTTGAACTATTATTATTCGGTTTTCTATCACAACACTTTGCCAGCGTGAGACCTTCTCGCTCTCTGTCCGGCCAGCACTCATCGCTCGGATGTGAGCTACTGCCTGTGGATTTCTCTTTGAATACGGGTCGTTCAAAGTTATTAAATTCATAGTTTGAGTTCTCTTGCAATGGTTCCGAATAACAGCTATCGCTCTGCAATAGCAGCATTTGCTGCTGCGATGTCCCAGATGAACCCGATCCAGAGCCAGATGCTGATGCAGAACCCGAGCTGACTGTGTTCTTGCCCAATTTTTGCATGGCCCCAACTCCGACAACGCCAACAGCGCCCGTTGAGCTTGTACGTAAATCAAAATTTGGATTCTCGTAATGATCGGTTGTGGCATCGGTCATATAATCGGCGCTCATATAGGCTTCCGGTTCGTGTGCAGCACGCATATTATGATTATAATGATGATGATGTGGATGATGTTGATGGTAACGCGAAGCTTGTGGGCCATATTCGGCTGTTATGTTGTGATTGATGGCACTTCGTATTGAGCCAGTATCGTAGGGTCTCTGGTACATTGGTTCCTGCAGCTGATACTCGGTACCGCCGCTCGGAGAAGCTGCCGATGGCCCCGCCAGCGAGTTTAGCGCATAACTATCATCGTATATTAGCTTGCCGGTGCGCATTGTGTACGTATGAAGATTAGTATTTGCATTGCAAATGGCTGGATAATCAGTTTCAAACTGTTCCTGACTTGAGCTGGACGTACACGGTAAAAAGAAATTAGCAACATTCGAATGCGAGTTGTGGTGATGGGCAGCAGCACCGTGTTTTTCTCTCATTACACTGCCGGTGGCATTTGCACTATTGGCAAATCCGCTCATCCCGGCAGCTGTTCCAACCATACGGACGTCCCCGTTGACAGCAACGCTGCCATCGGTATTGCTGCCAACGCCGGTTTTTAGGCCCGTCACCCATGATATCAATGTTATGATTGCTATCTCGATCAGACGTAATGAAAACTGATATCCCCACTGCATCCAATCGACCTCAACAATATTCGCCTGGCTAATTAGGGGTCGCGCTGCTGAGATGCAGACGGCGCCAAAGATTTGCAGAGCAGCTAAAAGAACAAAGAGCAATGCTGTCGCAATTGTGATATGAATAGCATAAGAGAGATTCTGATAGCCATGTATATAATTTTGGGATTTGCTTCTCAGTATGCGCTTCAGTATGCGGTACAAATACAAATACAAGAGCCCCAGGCTAAGGCATATGAATATATAAATAATCTGGCATATCAGCGAAAGAACCCGCGGTGGTGGCGGTGGATTGGCCAGACTGGTCGAAGGCGACATGCTAACCTGTTGTTGCAACAACTGTTGCTGCAGCTGCTGCTGCTGCTGGTGCTGTTGGCGCCGAAAGTATTGCTGCTGTTGTTGTTGCTGAAAGTACAAATGATGATTTTGCAAGGTATACGACTCGACATAATGCAGCGTAATGCAGAGTCCAACGTGTACACCACAGCCGACGACCACGGTTAGCGGTCGCACCAGCGCCGAATAGCGATTGTTTTTGTGGTTTAAAGACTTTAAAAACAAAAATAAAATGAGCACCGCGAAAGCAACAGTCAAGAATGTTGATGGCAAATTCAATAGGAGCTCGGCGGCAAATATTGGAAAAGTTCCATGAATATTGTAAGCATCAAAGCATAAGTAAAATATACGCATTATACAAATGGCAATCAGTATGAGGTATATGTAAACGAAATATGATTGTGCGAATAGATGCGTCAGCTTGTCAAAGGTGACCAGTTTGTAAAGTGAATAGACTGCCAATATCGTGTACAGAATGACCGATAAATAAATATGTATGTTCCACGCCCATGTCCATGTGGTATGAGCAGAAGCCGCTGCAGCCGCAGCAGCGCCCACAGCGCCACCGTCTCTAGTGCCTGTGCCTGAGTCTGTGTCAGCAGCTTTTCCGGCGACAGCATTGCCATTAGTTGGCCTTGCATTTGTCGTTGCAGATGTAAATGATGTAGCAGCCGCCTCACCAATTGCAGCTGCAGCCGAAGGTGTGGTAACTGCCGACTGACTAGCATTGTTGCCAAACAAATCCCTTGGCGCGGCATCGTTTAAATCCAATTTACCGCTCGACTGTTGTTTACTCTTGTTTATGTTTGGACTAACCGAAGCAGATGCAGCTTTATCATCGCTGTTGCTACTGCTGCTGCTGCTGCTGCTGCTCTCCTTTGCAATTTCCGCATTATCGACCGAAACTATCGGGGAGGCTGGCGGCTGATGGTAGTTCACCAAGGGTCGCTGTGTCACGTGGCGCAATAGAACTGCAGGTATGTCACCTTTCTTGCCATTTGATCCTAGTATGCGTCTAATGTTCGGCAGAACCTCCTGCCTCTTATTTGCATTGGACTCCTTGCCATTATTGGTCACTCCTTTATCTTGCACGTTATGATAATTGGCATTATTATTATGATCGGATGCTTCAACGGCGACTGCATCATTGCCCGGCCGTGACGGTGTATTAAGTGCCTTTTTACGATCTCCGGCGACGTCAAAGGCTCCTTGCATGCTGGTCGCAACGAGTAGCTTCTTGGCATCCGCCGAGCTGCTTGCATAGCTTTCATTTACATTGTGATTCGAATTGCCATCTGTGTTGCCAATTGAGGCAGCCAGATCGGGTGGACGAAACGGTATCCTTTCATGGCCGGGCATCAGGCTGGGCGGTGGTATCGGCCGCCTGTTATTAAACGGTGCCGTATTTGATATAAGACCCTCGTTATTAGTCCCCCGTAACGTGGGCTTATCGGCAAATGGGTTTTGATATTCCGGCGGTAATGGCGGCGTAAAAAATGATCTTGATGGCGGCGAGTACGACGGAATATCTCCAGGATACATTGGTATTGTCGGCTGGCCTTTGGCTTTCTTTAATAAGTTAGGAACTAGTTAAACAAATATAAAAGCATCATATCAAATAAATGTCAACAAACTGCAATTATAATAAAAAAAGCTATAATTACTTGATGGCATTGGCGTTGAATTGTATTGGATTGTGTGTCGATGACGATCGCGGTCATGACTGCTGCTGTGATGACGATTTGGATTCGGGTAAGTTGGATTATTATTACTCTTCAAAATATCAGCATTTGGTGCAGAGGTTGGCAAAGCGTGATCTCTTTCCAAGTCCAACTCATAGTTTCTATGGCGAGCACCGTTATGCTGAGCTTGATTTGACGATTGGTATCTAATAAAACATCAATAAACAATAATCACTCTGATTCCAGCCAGTTTGAAAGAAGATGCTGTTAGTAGTGGTAGTGCCCGACTAAAGATACTCTGCACCCAACGCCCAAATGCTTGTATTTAAGATTTGAACTAACTTTTATACAAATTAAACCTATTTTATTATCCTTTCAGGGTTATCCGTTCTTGAATAAGTTGGATGTTTGGATGCCAGGCTTACAAATTACTTTAAAATTGAAAAGACACCTATGAAATGTTTCAATATGATAACATTGAATATATATCAGTAGTTTCCAGACACACGAGCGGACTAGACTTACACATTTACTCTATCTAACAAGTATTAGGTACTTACCGGAGGGTTGTTAGAAGCGGCGTCGCGACAGTAGTGAGACCTAAAATGTAACTATTGTCGGGTATGCTTCGTTTGGTCGTTGACGTTGTTCCATATGCCACTTTGATTAAAACAGCGGCCACACTTCTCTCCAAATTGTCCAACTTGTCCAGATATCCGCTTGCCGCAACGGAAGGTCTACCGAGCCCGTTGCCCGTTGTACCGTTGCTTAACATTGACTTACCAGCACTTCGGAAGCTGGTGTTGTTCGAGTTGGTGTTGCCCTTGAGGGGCAGGTGCTCCTCGGCACTGTCGGCCGTGTTTTGTTCTTCGACTAATATCGAATGTGATGAGCTTATGAGGTAAAATGTTACCAGTATCAGCAGGAGTATATTACAATTTTGCCATAGAGTTTTCTTAGTCTTGCAAACAATTGGTGACTCCGAGACCGAGGCATGCCGGGCGGAGGCGGATCGGCGTCGCTTAAATGTAGTATTTACCGCAGGATCATTTGGAGTGCTACGATTATAATATGAAGATTTAACGGGGCTCTTCTGTGTACATTTTAATTCAGACTTCTTTGATCTTGATAATTTGACATTTAATACTGATTGGCAACATTCTTTTCCACCCGTTAAAAATGAAGTTACGCCGGTAAAATCCATTCGATCACATGTCAAAGCATTGGCTGTAAACAAATAATACAATTAAAACAGGTTAGAGTGCTCTAATCAGGTATGCCCGACTATGAAAGTCCGTAACCCCCCCCCTCACGCCCATCGAACCCAGCTGCCACTTGGTTTTCCTTCTATCGCAAAATTCATAATTACACATATATTTAAGCTGCGGCTGCCCTGCCACAAAAGCATATACATTTTTATATACAGGTATTTGTGTGTGTATGTGCATGTGTGTGTGCATGCATGCATATATGTATGCATGCACGTTTGTTTTCTAATACCAAACGCAGATCGAACTGATTTGTCACTATGCTGCAAATTTAAAGATAACGAATTTGTACCAAGTGCTCTTCTCCTCGATTCTCAAGAATTCAAGTAGGCCTTGCTGAAATATAACAAGGCAGAATACTTTGGCTCCATATGTATGTATATATATATATATGTAAGTATGTATAAATATATGTCAGTCAATCTGTCAATCAGTCAGTCAGGCAGAACAAACAGTTTTATATATAAAGATATTTATTTTAAATAGAACATTCTTAAATTTTCTATTAAACTGTTAGGCTTACCTTTGTGGGTTTTTAGTACAGCATCTCGAAATTTAACTTTTATCCGGCGATTTATTGTAGACATGTCGGTTGATTATTGCAAATGTCCAATCGTTTACCTCACAGGTTCTGCGTTCACTAACAGGTAACAATAAAATATGTTGTCGGCATGATTGGAGATTATATATCTACAAGACAAAAATTTGTGTTTATACAACCTAAAAATACAAAATATATATAGTGGTCCGATCTGGCTATGTCTATATCGACCCGGTTGTTGATACTGATCAAGAATATATATATTTTATGGGGATGGAGGTGTATCCTTCTATGCGTTACATATTTTATGACAAAATAAGAATGCCCTCTACAAGAGTATGGAAAAGTACCCAGCTTTTAAGGACGCTTCTTTTTTGGCAGATCTTAATTAAACATTTTTGTTATTGATGCATTGCATGGTCTCAACAAGCTGTCGTAGATGTATTTTAAACGTACATTAAAATGAATAATTGCGGCTGCCCTCAAAGATTGAATACTTTATAGAAATTTCCCCTACAACTTTGCAGATATGTGAGAATATTAATGCTCTTTAATTTAGGGTTTGGTAAAACAGGATATATCCATCTAAGAACTAATTAATTGAACTATTCTTCACATAGAGCTATATACGTGCGATCTTAATAAGATTTGAATCATGCCGGAATTAGCCAAGACATCTTGATAAACAAAACAATTTTTTTTTAAACGAGAGCCCCTTTTTCGGATTCGCATATATGTAAGAAGAGATTAGTTCAGATATCTTGAAAAACAAACATATTTGTTTTTGATACAAAAACTTATTTTTAATTGTTCTTTAGCAGTTATATAAAATAGGTCGGCTTCAAAATCAGTTTCAATGATATGTTTTTATTGTTTCATTAAATGAAGGCCAAGTTTAAATTTTATCTTCCTTATAGTCTTTGCTTGGCTTGGAAAATCACAATTTTTTAAAACATCTTTGATTCACTTACATAAATACATACATACACGCATATAAGCATACCTATGTTTGGAGTCAAGTTTTGCTAACTTTTGGCCCCCCTTGGGCGACGAAGTGCATTCTAAGTTGCGCAATTGTGCAAAATATGTCCATACTAGCATATTATGTTTTTTAAAAGTTGGTAACTCTAAAAATATTACTAACAACTACATATAAGACATATATGCAATATTCACACAATGTCCACATACATAATGCATATATGCATGCATATATATATAAATATATATGTAGACATGCATACGCCTACAAATCAGGTAGGTTACCAGATTAATTCTAACCCATATTCCAATCAATGTCCGCAGTTGTAGAATAGAAGTCGTTGTTGCATTCATAAAAATCATTATATTTTTTAAAGAGTGGTTACACACATTTGTAAGTTATCCAAATTTTCAGTGATGCATTTGTATGGGTATAAACATACATACATACATAACATTTATGTATGTCTACATACATATGTATTTCTACTTCAAACAAGTTTCTTTGAACAAGCACACATGTATACATATAGTTACATATGTATGTACAAACATATGAATATTAAGGTAGATTCCACGTACTTATGAATGTGTAGATCAAAGCGAATGGGCGTATTGCACGTACCGTCAATATTTAAGCACTACACACCTATACACTAAGATTTAAGCATATAAAATTGCTTTACACCTTATTATTAACACAAAAGAATTCGATTTCTTATTTTGTAATTCTCAATTTTTCTCTTTAACACAAAATGGCGTAGCCACTAGAGATGAGAAAAAAAAACATCGACACATTGAAGATTCGATTTTTCAACTACGTACATAGTTTTCCCGATTACTTTCTACTGTGTTTTATATCAGGATGCTCTGCGATATATTATGTGCGTCAAGTTAGCGACGGTGAATTAGCTTCGAATTTTGGTACTTGGTATCGGAAAAGGAATCGGTCACTTTAAAATGCATTTATTTATGTTTTTAAGCACGAAACCAAATAAATTTAAATGTAGAATTGAAAAAAAAATAAATTATTTACTATCTGCATTCATTTATTTTTGAATTTTGATTTATAATATGGGTAAACCAAGGGATTAAAATATTAGGTTTTCACCATTCCATAAATATCTAAATTTAGGGACGATTGCCCCAAAAACCGCATATACACGATTAAAGCCTATAGTTTCTCCTAGCCAACTGTGAAAATTTGATTAAAATCGTCGGTACCATTTTCAAGATATTTGGAAAAGAGTGCAACAACCCCCAAGTCAGCCCCATATAAAATGACCGCAAAAAATCAACCTTGTTTTCGAGCCCTTATTTCTTAGCTCAGAGACAATGGCCCTCAATGCACGGTATACCCTCTTGTAGATACATATTTTAAGAAGCTTAAGGCACTAATTTTAAGTAAATAGACGGTACAGATTTTGAGAAAATTAATTAATTGTAAGCCAACCTCATATAGTTCATTCAAAAAGTCTATCGAACTGCTAGTTCCTACGTGAACTGAATGACTGCCTGGCATCAGTGTTGAACAATTTTGTACAGAACTTAGCGGGAACCAACTCAATTTGAATTGGAAAGGACTCACAGTAAATTAAATTAATAAGTCAAAGCAAATTATATGAGCAGTATTAAGTCATACTTAATAGCGCAGCTTATGGAAAAATTTAATTTTTCCAATTTTTTCTTTCCATCCTATGTTAATGCAAAAATGTTAATGCAGAATTCATCCTGTTAAATGGCAGCCATATTTTAAACTTTATTATTTAATTTCTCCGAAAACGGCCCCAAATGCACGGTAGTTGTGCATATAGAGCACGATTTATCAATCATTTTGCTATTTATTTCATTAAAATCATCGGTACAGATTTTGAGAAATTCTCATTTTTCTATTTCTCTCATAACATCCTATGTTAATGCAAAAAAAAAACAAGCTGGCAATATTATATATCATACTATTAAATGGCAGCCATATTTTAAACTTTATTATTTAATTTCTCCGAAAAGGCCCCAAATGCACGGTTATATCCATTTATAAATAAAATAAATGTGTTTTTAAATAAATATGTGGGCTAGTCTTTGAAAAAATGTATACATGATATACTTGTACAAGCTTAAAATTACTATTACGAACAGTTTCAACTATTAACATTTTGTAAGACGAATATAGAAAGTGACGTAAAAGTAATTTTCTTAATACTTATAAAAAATACAATATATGTTGCGTTAGCTTTATGCTCATTTTCTCCGCATTCCATTACAACTCAAATATAAGACAATTTCTTTGAGTGTTAGCAATTACAATTATATAGTTTAAAGTTTTATTTTCAGCAATTACATCACAATTAATGTGTATATATATATTTATGTAGTTCTTTATGTGACTTTTAGCATTATTTTTAATTCGCCTGTGTCATGTAGCTTTAAACATGTTTTATTTTCCCAACTTTTCTAGTACATATAGTTCCGAATATAGTAATCTTAGTCAGTCTCATCGTCACGATGCAGAGTTTATAATTTATTAACTCATGCATGAACATATATATTTTGTTATGTATATATATTTGTTCTGGTTGTACTGTATTGTATTGTATTGCAAAACACAAATACTTGCATGTACATATCTTTTTTGTTATAAATATATAAAAATATATGTTATAAATATATATATATGTACACATATACATCAAGAGTCTTGAGCAATGGCGACTGCCGTTCCAACTTGATGGGTCCACGGTCCTCCATGTTGGGCGTTGTCCCGTTGCCGTCTGTACTCATCGTCGGGCTGTCCACAAATGACATCCTCGGACGTGAGCGACACCAACAGGGTCAGCGTTGTGGGCGTGACCGAGCCGGGTCTGAAAAAGTTCTCCAGCCCATTACCAATATCCCGCCAGCGGCGCATTAATCAGCGGCCGGGTTGGGGCGCGCTTGACCCGACCCTTGACCAGATGCTGCAGATGAAACGAAGCGCTGGTCAGCTGCGTAATCGAATCACAGCACTCGTCCACGTTGACATCGTCCATGGCCGCATTGCTGTTGCTCATCATGTGGCTGACAGACGAGGCCTATGTAAATGTAATCGTTGGTTACGCCCAGCGAATCGATGCACGCAATAATGCCGGAGGCTATCTCAAGTACAAACATCTGAACCTTCTTCGCATCGCGTTGATCCCAAATGGTGCAGCTGATTAGGGTAAAGAGATGGGTATAAGAAATCAAATTAAATCAACCTAGCAGATAATAATGGTATTATCTAAAATACGTATTCATTAAATTTATAAAAATAATTTCAGCTTGACCAAAAATAAATTGAACTGGGTAATTAATTTGTATGTAATTTAAGTATGGTTGTGCGGCTTATGTCCAGCTCTGGTATCTCCTCATCGCTGCATGGCTGTTGCTTATAGCAGCCATCGGATTGATCCAACACGAATGTACAGCTGCAATCTTCACTGTTGCTGGCCACGCCCAACCAAACCGTGGCTGCTTGTGTGCCAACCGATGCGGGACTGGATCCGCATCGTCACATTCATCGGACTCTACACAGCTGCTCATGGATTAATAGGATCCGCCGGCATTGGTCTGCTTGCTGCCGCCCACATTTAGGCGCAATCGCAGATGTGTGTGGGGGGCGGTGAGATGGCAGTGGTTAGGATGCGATTATGGTTTGGTATACGCTCTACTTACCGTACAAACTTTTGCGTCGCCGCAATCGCTGCTCTCTAGGCGCATTCGGTTTCTCGCCAAAAGCGCACAAGGAAAAGAGACGCAAGTTGTTCTTGTTGCTGCCGCTCGGCAACGTATTTGTTGCCACAATCTGCGAGTGTATTAAGCTAATCAATAAACTAAGCACACAAGGCATTAGCAGCGCATTAAGCAGATCGGCACTCTTCTCCGAGTGCTGCTTATCATCGTTGTATTCGTTTCCCGATCGTAGCCCAGCGGCGCCAGGCGATTGCTGTGCATGATGTACATTTATGGCCCAATTAATCAGATGTGTGATGTACAGAACTACAAATAAAAGAATTCGCAAACAAAAAGAAAACTTATTTGATATATGCATGGAATGCAAAAGTGCCGCTATGTTAGGGGCTGTCAACTTATGTAGAAAGCTAACCTATGGGAGCATAAAGATGCCACCTTGTGAAAATAAGTAAAAGTATGACGATGAATATTATGTAAACATGTTATTTATATAAAATAAATAATTTATAATTTATAACAACTATTGTTAAAATATTCTACAATTTGTATTATTATCTGTGAATATATAAATATATATACAAAATATGAATTTTTATTGTGAGCCAATTACAAACTTTTCATCGTCATGCATAAAAAGGGTGACCGTTTTTTTTAATAATTCACTTATTTTCAGAGACTGTCAGTTTCCCTCGTGTACATGCTAGGCTTATAATGGGTTGGCAGGGTCTATTATAACGGCACTTTTATATATCCAAGAATATTCCATACGACTTCTACTAGCTTTTATATATGTTTTTCATGAAAATTTTTATTAATAATTCATAATATTAATGTTTTTTTTTTTTATTTGGGACTAGTTCAATATATATACATATTTTTATTGGGAGTCAAACATAATATAAGAAAAGGTTTGCGAGGATTGCATCCACGGCTGCTGCGGCTGCATCCACGGCTGCAGCGGCTGTAGCCACGGCTGCAGCGGCTGAGACATCTGCGGTGGCTCCTGCTGGTAAGCCGTACGCGTCTGTGGCATCTGCGGCAGCTGAGGCGGCTCCTGCTGTTGCATCTGCGACGGCTGTTGCATCTGCAACGGCTTCGCCAATTCTTTTTCCAAAAATCTTATTTTCTTGTGTTGCGCCCTTATCAAAAGTTGTTGCTGTTCAACTTTATTTTTGAGCGCAGCACAGTGCGAAGGCTGGCGGTGCTTAATAATTTTTATTTATTTTTTTTTGTGGGACATCACATTGGTACATTGTTGAATTTGAATAATAATAATTAAAATATTGCCACCATTTCAAATATGTTAAAATATTGCCAGGTTGTTTTTTGCATTTACATAGGATGTTATGAGAGAAATAGAAAAATGAGAATTTCTCAAAATCTGTACCGATGATTTTAATGAAATAAATAGCAAAATGATTGATAAATCGTGCTCTATATGCACAACTACCGTGCATTTGGGGCCGTTTTCGCAGAAATTAAATAATAAAGTTTAAAATATGGCTGCCATTTAACAGAATGATTTCTTCATTAACATTTTTGCATTAACATAGGATGGAAAGAAAAAATTGGAAAAATGCAATTTTTCCATAAACTGCGCTATTAAGTATGACTTAATACTTCTCATATAATTTTTTTGACTTTTTAATTTAATTTACTGTGAGTCCTTTCCATTTTTTCATGATTACATATAATTCAAATTGAGTTGGTTCCCGCTCAGTTCTGTACAAAATTGTTCAACACTGATGACAGGCAGGGATTAGTTCACGTAGGAACTAGCAGTTCGATAGACTTTTTGAATGAACTATATGAGGTTGGCTTACAATTAATTAATTTTCTCAAAATCTGTACCGTCTATTTACTTAAAATTAGTGCCTTAAGCTTCTTAAAATATGTATCTACAAGAGGGTATACCGTGCATTGAGGGCCATTGTCTCTGAGCTAAGAAATAAGGGCTCGAAAACAAGGTTGATTTTTTGCGGTCATTTTATATGGGGCTGACTTGGGGGTTGTTGCACTCTTTTCCAAATATCTTAAAAATGGTACCGACGATTTTAATCAAATTTTCACAGTTGGCTAGGAGAAACTATAGGCTTTAATCGTGTATATGCGGTTTTCGGGGCAATCGTCCCTAAATTTAGATGTTTAGGAATGGTGAAAACCTAATATTTTAACCCCTTGGTTTACCCATATTATAAATTAAAATTCAAAAATAAATGAATGTAGATAGTAAATAATTTAATTAATGCAATTCTGCATTTAAATTTATTTGGTTTTGTGCTTAAAAACATAAATAAATGCATTTTAAAGTGACCGATTCCTTTTCCGATACCAAGTACCAAAATTCGACGCTAACTCACCGTCGCTAATTTGACGCACATCGATATATTATTGAATCTGAACCGTCTTCCTTGTTCGATAATTTAATTTGCGTGAATGTAATAAATTTAGTGTATGGAAATTACACGCATTATGTATCGTGCACATTCTGTCTGTTCGCCATTTTAAAATTTAACTCTGGCAAAAAGCTTCTTGCGTTTTCGTATTTTGATTTGTTTTTGAAAATATCGCTCTAAAAGTATCGGCATTAAACAAGTCAGTTGGTAAAAATATCTAAAATTGTTAGAGGTATCGATACAGTATGAACATCCATAACGATAAGCAAAAGAAGAATACACAAAGAAAAAAGAATCAAAGTAAAAATTAATCTTACACTAAATTAGTAATCAAAAGAACCATAGTCAAAAATATATTACTCACCCATATTCTGAATTAAACATGGATACATTTGATGTATCTGATAGGAGCAGGTAAGAACGCCTCTCCCAATTGTTATAAAAATGAATGTTGCCGTCCCAGCCAAACATCATTGATATTTGTGCGACTATACAAACGGCTTTACATTCATGTGTATATGTACACTCTATATGAACATGTTTTAACTTTTATCATTTTTTTTTAAGTTGGTATTTTGGCTCCATGTCGCGGCAAGATGCCACCGAAGTATTAATGAATGAGCGTGAGCGGGGAGTCTTTTTAGTACGCGACAGCAACTCAATTGAGGGAGACTACGTCTTGTGTGTAAGGTAAGTAACAGTAACAATATAGAAATTATTTTGAAGGCTTAACTTCAACTTTTATTTTAAAATAGAGAAGACACCAAAGTTAGTAACTACATAATAAACAAGGTGCAGCAGCAGGACCAAATTGTTTACCGAATCGGCGATCAAAGTTTTGAAAACCTTCCAAAGCTACTCACATTCTATACGCTACATTATTTGGACACCACGCCTCTGAAGCGTCCCGCGCAGAAAAAACTGGAAAAGGTTATTGGCAAATTTGATTTCGTTGGAAGTGTATGTTTCACAAAAACTTATTTTTAAACGCAACAAAAACTTATTTAAAAATTTATGCTTTATATTTAGGATCAAGACGATTTACCGTTTCAAAGAGGTGAGGTTCTCACGATAATCCGAAAAGATGAAGACCAATGGTGGACTGCCCGCAATTCCACTGGCCTAGTTGGACAAATACCTGTTCCCTATGTTCAACGAGTAAGTTTTTACATCCCAGTCAAAGGTTATTTAAGAAAGATATTAAATATTGATACTCTTATTTACTATTGTATCATTTATTATTTATAATATAAGAAAATGGATCGGATAAAACTAGTTTTGGTCCATTCAACCTTGGGCCTCCATTTTCCACCCGGTCATGGATCATCTGGAAAATGTGATACTCTTAAAATACAAGATTGAACTAATCCATAATGTATATAAATTCTTGGTTAGCATTTACTTATGTCCGGAATGAACACATAAATCTCAGAATATACTGGAGCACGACACTTGAAATTTTGAACGTATGTCCTAGTGCTAGTTGACTTTAATTGCCTCGTTTCCAAGCAATTGATAAGGATTGAGCATATATATTATATATATACATATATATTAGCTTGTAGATTCACAAATTTCAGATACAGCTCCTCGCTCCTCTACTTGAAAAATATTCTGTTTTCACTATTCACTGTTAAAACATCTTCGGCGTGTCGAAGATACCCTTATTTGATCATTATTTTTATGAGTTTATGTTGTTTCTTTATAGTACGACGACTCTATGGAGGAGGATGGTATTGAGCATTTGGCTAATTTAAACAGCAGTTCTTGCATTGCACGTTCAACTATTTCCTCTGCCATTTCCAATGTCGACTCCCCTTCCGTATCATCCAGCCAGTTTAGTACATTGAAAAGGACAGACTTGAACGTATGTTATTGATCAATAACTTATCTATTTAAATATATGATCAAATCTTTTTATCCAGCGCAAGTTGCCAGCTCGAGCCCGTGTTAAACAGTCGCGCGTGCCTAATGCATATGACAAAACCGCGCTAAAACTGGAAGTTGGAGACATAATCAAAGTCACCAAAACCAATATAAATGGCCAATGGGAAGGGGAGCTAAATGGACGCAAGGGCCATTTTCCATTTACGCACGTCGAATTTGTCGATGATTGTGATGTAAATAATTGTGCGGATATTCGATTAAATAACGATTGGGCGGAACAACAATAATTTTCAATTATAACTTATATTTTAAGTTAAGAGAATATATTAAATTGTAATGAATAAGTGATGTTTACCAATTGTTAAAATATTAAACATATTGATTAATCTTAGAAAATTCAAAAGAAAATCCAGATCACACAAAGAAATTGATTGTCTTACAGTAGAAAGGTCCAAAGTTAATTAATACGAGTCCTTTTCCGTTAACATGTAAAAGTCGTTTACTTCTTTTGGATTACGTTAAGGGACGTAAACGTAGTCTGGCATTTTCTAATTATAAATTGTAAGTATTTTAGTAATCATTGTACATCGGAAATAGTAGAGAGCTTTGTTTGTCGTGCCAAATTTTACGTTTCAGATTTTTCTATTTTTCTGTAAAGAAAAGGACTGCGATAGCACTACAAATTATGCCATTTTGTCGAACATTAAATGCCAAGGAGCTACAACAGCTGGATGATTGGATGATCCATAAGCAGATCAAGCTTGACAATCGCACACGTCGCGATCTATCCGATGTTGTGACCGTCGCTCGACTCTTTAGGAAACTCAATGCAAAGCTGGTAGACATGTACAATTTTAGCTCGCACAGTAGCCTTGCATTAAAGTTGGAAAACTGGAAGATGTTTAATTTGAAAGTCCTGCGAAAATTGGGTTTTAAATTGTCCCGTAACGATCTAGAGCAGCTTGCCTCGGCCAGACGAACCGCCGCGGAATCGCTGCTCTATCATTTGATGTGCACGGAGCGAGATGGACTCAAACTAAAATTCCAACCACAAATACTTCCTCTGATGACGGTGGCAACCCAGGAAGACATTCAGAGGGTTAGAAATAGTTTGGCAGCTAACACCTCGGATCAAATGCCAGTGCAGTTGCTGGAGAATGATAAGGGGCCTGCAGAGGACCCCAAGAATGTGCCATATACTGTGTATAAGCAATTGATTCAGGAGAAACACAAGAAGCAAAAATATATTAGCTCAGTGCGCCATAAAGTTAAGTTACTTCAAAGCCTCATCTTGGTAAAAGAAGAGCGGATCAACAATCTAATGAAACGTCTGGCCACACTTTCCAAACAGACTTCACTTTAAAACTACCTTTCGATTCGTAATAATAGTTTTGTTATCCTTTAGAATGAAATAAAACAACTGTAATTGTATATGTAAGCTCGAGATATCGTGCCTACTTATTTAGTTGTGTATATATATAGAATAATTAGTCGTTAAACTGTGCAACTAATAATAATATCTATAATAGTGTGTGGCATTAGCATTGATTCTTTCATATTTAATTTACCTGTTGGTTTCAAAACAGTATTAATTAGTATTTTTCTGCATTTTCCAACTTCGAAGAAGTGGTCACATTGTGTTATATGTTTGCACAACAAAGGAATATAAAGAAATGCCTGGAGGAAGAATTAGTTCCTTACCTGTTGATACAGTTTCCTATTCAAATCTGGTAACTGCGCATTATTTTGAGTTCCTATAACAAACGTTGTTCGTATATAATAGTAACATATGTATGCATGTTATAAAGGCACACACCCATCTTCCCATCCATAACAACATTAAAATTACGCACAAACATTTATATACATTTTTAATTGGGGTTGCTTTATTTTGACACTTATTGCAGGTTGGCTTCATTTTTATATTCAATCTTATTGTCGGAACTGGAGCGCTAACTCTTCCAGGAGTATTTTCCAAAGCAGGATGGTGCCTCAGCCTTGTAGTTATAATATTGCTAGCCATTATAAGCTATATCACAGTAACCTTTGTCATCGAATCCATGGCTGGCGCAAATGCGATAAAAAACTGGCAAAGCCTTCAAGTTCTGCGGCATCGACGCAGTTCAAATGAAGATGAAGACAATGAACGATTTTTCAATGCAGCAGCAAGCGAAACGACTCCTCTGACTATACAAAATATGGAATTTCATTATTACCAATTGACGCACAAATTTGAGTTGGGCGAAATGGCAACAATATTTTTTAATGATTTTGGACGCATCTTGTTTTACCTGTGCTTTATCATTTACCTGTATGGAGACCTGAGCATATACTCTGCCGTGGTGGCCAAAAGTCTGCGCGACGTTATATGGTAAGATTGCAAAATCATATCCCTATATACATATATGATTTATATATACCCTATAACCATTCAAAATGCTGGCAAAAGCGAGTCGTCTCCGTAAAAGATTTTATTAATATAATATAACAATTAATATAATAATTGCCACAATTATCGCTAGCCGATCCAGTTGCCTATTCTTTATATATTTCATTTATCAATTATTTCATGTGAATTATCGCAAATTTATAAATGTATGTCTACGAATGCTCATACAATGAATTATCTTTGCAGTGAACATGAACATTCAAACACTTCGGATATCACGAATTGGATGCAATATCTTGGTAATTTTGAAGGTAACGAAACGAATGAACGAGCGTGCTGGCAAGATCATACCATATCGCGGCTAATCATGTACAGAATCATTTTAATTGGGTTCACACTTATTTTCGGGCCACTCGCAGTGCTCAGTATTCAGAAAACAAAGTATTTACAAATACTTACGGCTCTTTTTCGTTGCTTGGGTAAGGATTTATCCGATTGGCTTGCTCAAATAAATACAATATTTTTTTGATTTTCAGCGTTCGCGTTGATGATCTGCATTGCCCTGAAGATGCTCGTCATGGATGGGGCCAGAGGTAGGCCTGTTGCCATCAATTTTTACGGCATTCCATCGTTATTTGGGGCCTGTGTCTACTCGTTCATGTGCCACCATTCACTGCCCAGCTTATTGGAACCTCTCAGAAACAAGTCAGTGGTGGCTAAAATTCTTTCATACGATTATATTGTTATTTGTACATTTTACATAGTACTAGCAATGACTGGCATTTTTGCATTCAAGCACGTAGAAGATCTTTACACATTGAATTTTCTACCATATCAGGTCGGTTATAATAGTTTTTTATCAACTTTTTTTGTTGTCATTGATTATTTCCTGTCGCTGTTTCCGGTCTTCACATTATCTACCAGTTTTCCGCTTATAGCTATTACACTTAAAAATAATCTTCAAACCTTGTTTTTGGACATGTCCCGATATGATTCATATAGTATATTTATCCGTATACTTTTTCCCCTGCTTGCGATTCTTCCACCATTTTGTGTGACATATTTTACCGAAAATCTTTCTACTCTAGTGGCATTTACGGGCAGCTATGCTGGGGTCGGGATACAATATGTGATCCCCGTTTTCCTAGTTTATTTCTCTCGAAAAACATGTTGTGAACTTTTGGGAAGTGGGATTATCAATCATTTCCAAAGCCCATTTCAATCAAATGCATGGTTAGCTTTGGTTTTAACTTGGTCAATTTTATCCGTATTTTTAGTAACTATCAATTTATTTACTTAATTACTTACCTAAATCATAAACAATTTACGCATATCGGCTGTAAAATTTCCAATAAATTATAATATACACATTATCAAAATAAGTAATTGATTGATTTGTAACTTGATCTCGCCAGTTCATTTAAATTATAATTTGCAATTAAAATCGACTAATATTTACTAATGTTTTCGAATGAATCATGTAATTGGGTAAAAACATTTTACGGCCTTACATATTATTACAAACCGAAAAATGTAACACAATTTACTTTAGTATGTGTATTGGGACACAAACAGAAACAATTTGGCAACGCTTTTCCCGCGGGGCATTCCATTTGTAAACACCGTCATACTCAGATCAAGTTCAACATCTTGAGGTCCTTCCAGTGCCTTTTTTAATACAAGATTTACCTGATTGTTGCTCTTCAATGTGCTGTTAAATAAGATCGAAAATATTTTATTACAATATTAGTTTTCATTATTATCAATTGAGATTCTGTAGATGTCATCAAAAAAAACTGTACTCGTATTTAATAAAAGCTTTGTATATCATATAGTATAGACTATTATTGTTTGTTATATACCTTCTGACGCATAAGTCTACAAGAGCTCTAAAATATCCTATGCATAATATTATTAGTAGGTATGTTACTTACTCAAAATAAATCTCCGAAGCTCTTTCAACATTGGGGGCCGCTTGAACTCGAACAACACTCAATTCAAAATCAATGTCGTCATACCAAATGGGTCCTCGTAGTGTAAATATTGTGCGACCATCTGGTGGGATCATTAGTTTCGACACAAATGTTATAAAATTGTATGTGTATGCTGATGGTTTTGTGTAACATTCATCTCCCTCACAAAAGTTATTAGTTTGTCGGCATCGGCTGAAAATAGCAGAAATGTATTGAATTGAATATTAAATTGAACGTCATAAATCAATAGAAAGCGTCGGTCCAGGCCATCAAAATTCGATAATTAAATACATTTCTATGATAAATGGGTTCTGAATATGATATATGGGTTCTTGGATAACTAAGATGTTGTTTAAAGTTTTTTAAGGCTTAAAGGGCTTGATAATTATACAAAATCGTGTAGTTATCCGTCTAATTTGGGGGAAGGGTTTCCGAAAACAGACATATTCTTGATCTGTGTATTCTGTACGATAATTTATTTTAATCGGACGGATGAGCGATGTGGCTAGATCGACTCGGGTTTAAGTTCTGATCAGAAACATATATGATTATGGAATGTCGGGGGTATCTATCGGCCAGTTTTTTTATCATACTTTTTTTGATCCTGATCGTTTATATAGCCATTGGGACAGTTGATGGTGGTGCATTTAAAGCTGCCTCGAATGTTGGTGCATATGTCATTCTGTAAAAAAATAAACATATTTAATTCTAATAAACAATAGTAGGTTATTCATAAGCTATTCACCCGGCCAGTGCACACATGATTCTCGTTTTTTGTTTCACATTCGTCAATGTCCCGACAGGTGTTCTTGTCAGCCGCCAAAGTGTAACCGCGGGGACAGGAGCATTGGTAGGATCCGGCCGTGTTGATGCAATAGCTAATCGGATTTTTGAAGAATAAGATAGAAGAGATATATTGCTCAAATATTATAAACAAGATAAAAGGTGATTACCCCATGCATAGCTTATAATCCTTATGCACTTCGCATTCATCGATATCGTTGCAGGTGCGATTGTCCTGGCTGAGTTCATAGCCCGAGTTACAAGTGCAGCGATAGCCGCCCCAGAAGTTAACACATTTCTGCTGGCAGAGCCCCGGTATGGACTGACATTCATCGACATCGAAACACTGCGAATGAGTTTGCCAATTGTCCTGATCGGGTCCATTGAGAGGCTTCTTTTGGAATCCTGATTTGCATTCGCAATAGTAAGAACCAATTGTATTAAAGCAGTGGGCATTCGAGGAACAAACGGGCTGATCCTGTGCACACTCGTTGATGTCCTCGCAACTATTGACACCATCCGGCAGACGTGTCACCTGATGGCCAGGTGGACAGGCGCAGATATATCCACCATGGCGATTGCGACATATTTGCTTTTCGCCACAGTTGTGATCGCCTGTCTCGCACTCATTGATATCTGATAGTTTTTGTAAAGGCAGGTTTCTGAGTAAAGCATAATTACAAATTACTTATGCACACAAACCAACGCAAGAGGTTCCATCGGGGGTTGACCTTAGTCCGGCGGGGCATTGTATTAGGCTTTCGCAGCGATACGAGCCATTTGTGTTGATGCAGCGCTCATGGTTCATACATGGCTTGTACTCGATACACTCGTTTATGTCTGGAAAGGAAATCTTTTTTTTTTATTTAAATTTTTGACATCACTTTTTTCGCAGCGACTATAAATATATACCTAATGGGAAATTAATATGGGGAAATTAATAGAACAAGTTGTACAAAACATGGCCGACCGTAGTTAGTAGTCGAATTTCAATCAAATGGGAAATTAGAACAATTGCTTGTATGATCGACAACCAATCGAATGTCGATATCGATACTTTAAACAAAAAACAAAAAGAGGAAGAATAAAGAATTCAATTCTTGAATCGAGGCCGTATACGGAAAGAACAAGAATTATAAAATAAAGACAACGGACGTTTACTGGATTTACTCCGCGGTTATTTGTATTTTGACATAAGGTATATATGGCATAGCTCCGCCGACATATTTCCGCCCAATATTATTTGCGGGAATTATGTGGCTTTTTTATGACGTTTGATTTTGAATTTACCGACACAGGCGCCCAAATTGTTTCTGTAAAATCCGGAGGTACAGGGCCGTTGAGCTATCGACCCATAATTAGTCAAATAGCTGGGAGCATAATCCATACGATTGTAAGCCAGTTGCGAAACAAATTGTGGATTCACATCTCGCCTTGGTGCAGCCGTTGTTGATGTAGCTGGCAACGGGATCGTGGTCGTCGATGTGGTGGATGTCGTAGTCGTAGTTTTCCTGTGGCACCGAAAGGATCCTTTGGTGTTGTAGCAATCATAGTTTAATGGACAATTGTGTGTGTTAAGCGCGCATTCATCGTCATCTTTGAAGAAAGAATTCGCTTCCAATTAGATTGCTTTCTAAATCTCAAATATAAGTCTGATTAGCTTATATGCATTTCGTATTTGTTACAAATAAGTCTCATTCAGATGTAAGTTTATTTTAAATTATTCTTACCATCACAATTTCCAGTCTCCGCGTTCAATGTATATCCCGTGCCGCACGATGTCCAGCGCTATGAAAACATTTAATAATTAAAATTGGATGTGCATATTTTTTTAAATTGATATAAGAAAAAATACCGTGCATATATATGAACCGATCGTGTTATCACATCTTTGAGTTGACAGGCAGTTGTGATTGTTAATCGAGCACTCATTAATATCTACAGGAAGTGTGCACATACATCATTCGAGCATAATCATATACATACGTAAGTGTGCATATTAAACATAGATAATACATAGATAACATAGTTGACCGGAGGCGCATACTCACCCACGCATTCATTTTGTGTCACATCCAGGCTGTAGCCGGGCAGGCAGTCACAGTGATAACTGCCTACGGTGTTTTTGCACTCCTGGTGCATTTCAGTCTTACAAGAGTTTGTCACATTATAATCGCACTCATCAATATCTGCGCAGCTTCCCTCTTTTAGGTAGAAGCCAGTCCCACAAGCCTGGCTATCTACCGGATTACAGTCATATCCGCCGCGATAATTGCTGCATTTATATCCCTTTTCGCATGGCGACTGAATGCACTCGTCTTGATCTATACAGTATATATATATGTTTATCAATGTATTATTAATACTGGCGGGTGCTAACCCACATTTCCCGTAACAAATTTTCTGATTTTGGGTAACTGGGTCAAAAATTTAAATCTGCACGTGTGTGTATGTGTGTAGGTATGTGTGTTAGTGTACACATACCTTAAGTAGATATATATGTATGCATGCATTCTCGTTTTCTAAAACCAAACGCAGGCCAAACAGATTTGTCCCACTGCTTCAAATTTAAGTATAACAAATTTCTACAAAGGGCTCTCCTCCTCGATTCACAAGTTTTTAACTAGGCCTTGCTGACATTTACCTAGGCAGGAAAGGCGTTGGTGGGGGTAAGTAGATATGTAGGTAGATGTATTTATGATGTATGTATGCAGATGTATGCATATGGATATATGTAAGTAGCTATATGATGTAGATGCATGCATGTGGATGCATGTATGTAGATACCCTGTAGATGTACATATGTGTGTGTATATATGTACGTTTGTTTATGTATGTAGATATGTATATACATATGTATGTAGTTATTGAACTTAAAGGTGGCGCCCTCTGACTTGGCATATTCACAAATTTGAATGCCATATTTATGTCCATATCGGAGCTCGGACGATAAACATCGAAGGGATTCAACATAAAATTGAATAGTGTAGCGCCGGAAGCAGCGTCTATAAGTGCCAATGTACGTAAGGTAATAATGATTTTGCTTATGTTATTTGGACTAGACAATGCGATAACCTGTGGTAGCACAGTTTCGACTTAATGCATTTACGTACCTTCACATTCCTCCGATTTGACATTGTAAAGATAGCCTGGGGGGCAGCTCTTTGCCTTGACATTAAGGCAATGATATCCACCGATAGTATTGTGGCAATATTGATGTGATTTGCACTCATGCAGTTGCTCCTTGCATTCATCAATATCGACGCATTTGCCTTGTTTAGCATCCAAAACATATCCGCTGGGACATAGATGATCTTTGTGCTCGGAACAAGTAACATTGTTATCGTCCAAAGTGTAGCCGGGATTACAGCTGCATTTGTAGGCATCAAATGTATTTTCACAAATATGCGCGCAAAGATTTGGAATTTTTCCACAAATATCATCTGTGAAGGATATATTTCGATTCATATACTAGGTGAGAAACAATCAATTATGAATTCTGGTTACCCACCATCATCGGCAAGAACAATAGTTCCATCCTGATCCTCGTCATCTGGCTTAGCATCTTCTTCTTCTGGCTCAGCATGATGGGCATCTATGCCAAGTGTATTCTCCTTTTCATCCGATTGATTGGCAAAACCATCCTCGGAGCAGCAAATCCGATATGAATCTATATTCGAAAGAAACGAAAACAAGGGGTCCCTGCATTTTTGCTGGCTTGCCTTTACTGCCAAACCCACTAGAAGGAATACTTGTATATTGTATATTAATTATCGCTTGTAAAAACAGATCCCACACCTTGACAGGCTCGGCAGCAATTTTTATATGTAGTCGACGATCCATTATTACAAGAAGTGCCTTCTAAGGCAGCCAGGCGACCCAGCTCACAATGTTGACGATCGAGTTCTCTGGAACAGCAGACGCCAAATGTCGAGGAGCACAATCCAATCCAGAGTCTGGATATGTTGGATACGGCCGATTCCATTTTTTCGCATTCATTTGTTGTGCGTGCATTTCTCAGTCCAATTATGCAACATTTTCGTATATAATCGGAAATTTGTTCCTCTTCATAAAAAAAAAACTCGATTTAGTTACATAATATCAAACAAACCTTATTATATAATAATACGAGCCAAAATTGAGCATGTTCAACTTGAAGTAAAGATTTATTCCCTTATCTTGCGCCAGGCAAACAAAGCCTCACGAGATAACAGCAAGAATTTCAATCCTCAAATGACTTTCTGTCCATATATACTTATTTTAAGTTTATTTGTTCTTGTATCAAGAAATGTATTCCGCTTGAAAACGAAAGTTCTTTGCATATGTATGTATTTCCAATCGAATCTTAACAATGCGATTATCTTTTATTTCAGTTCATCATTTGTAAGCAGAAGCTTTTTGACTCACCGTCTGCTAATACTCTTCCCCAGGACAGGAAAAAAAGAATGCCGATTATATTTATGATATGAGGTGAGCGCATTTCGAGTAGTTAAAGCTTGACATCAATTTATGTCGGCGAATTAATTGTTCTTTCCGTGGCCTTCCGCCTCGGCTTATGTGTGTAATGTGCGTTATAAGACTGCTTTCTCAACTGAGAAGCCAGTAACTTATGAATGCATACAAAAAAAAAAAAAAACGCTTGTATGTCGTGTAACGTGTGCGACATATACAGAGATAAAGATATAGAGATATAAATACAGTATCTCGTATCTCACAAGGCGACGACAATTTTTGAATTAACGTTGATAAAATTCTAAACAAAGAAGCATTCGAGTTGAGTGTGTTCGGCCTTAACAGCAATTAAATACCCTACCCAATCGTCATGATGAATGTCATTTTATTTACACACTCTTGGTTTATATAGAACTCAATCAGGTTCCTTCTGTTGCAAAACTGCAAGGTAGCAAAATAACTTTCACTTTATTTAGATCGTTAAGGTTAGACAAAAAAATTATTTGGTATGTATAAACAAATGTTTATTTAGTAATAAATACTTGGACAATTTACCAGACAATAATAATATATTAATAATCAAGTTGGATTAATCTAGTCGGCAGTCGACAATGACGAGATATTTAGGCCCAAGGTACAGTCTACACTCAGTTTATTAGACCCATAATTCTGCAGGTGTTAAATCCTTGTCCTAATATTAAGTATCCAGCGTGACTTGTTTTATTAATCGCTTAATAACATTGACCCTCTTCTATTGACACAATAGCGAATTTTTGCTTGCTGGCCGATTCGTACAACGGATTACATATCGTTTTGGCGATAATGCTCTCTACGTCGGTTCTTAAAATTCGAAAGTTGATATCCCCGTAATCTAGCTGGCTATATAAATAGGTTGGCAACCGATTGCTCATTACCCAAAGACCTTGACTCTCCTCGTGGTCCACTTTTAAATCGTTGGGAAATTGAATCAAGGTCGGGAATTTGTTAGCATCGAGGAGTATTCCCAAATTTGATCGAGAGTATGGTTTAGTTGTATCCCAACAACCGATGTTATCCCGATGTACTTGGGTAAAGAACATTACACCATTTCTGGCGATTCCAGATGTCGAAGATTGACCGTTGAATCCGCGATCGCCAATCGAAATAAAAAGTTTGGACGTATCTATTGTGCCATTGGTCCAAAGAGATTCATTTAATAGTATGTCTATCGGAACCATAAATTCCTTTAAAAAAAATTGTCACAAATTAAATAATATATAAAAATTAACTTATATATAACGTACCTTGTAGCTAGCCATTGGGTGAAAGTATAGCACACGATCATTTCGCTTGGGTCCCTGGGAGAGACTCATGCCGAAGACGCCATCCAACCACTGAAAATTCAGGCCATGGATATTGAAATCTGCCGCTGTTGGATTGGGTGAAAAATTGTAGTTAGTCACACGCCAGCTCCTGTGCTTCGCCAGGCTATAGACAACAATGCCAAAGCGCCAGACATCTGTGACAAAAACGTGCGCGTTCTGGCAATCCTTATTCCTGACATCTACGACAATATTCGAGTGTAACGAGTCCTGTTTAGTCTGAGAGGCGGGCAGCTCATACCGGACAATCATCTCATCTGTGTCCAGATCAAAGGCCACAATTTTTGGCGGACATATCTGATTTAAACTTATTGTAGCATTCACAATCCCGGAATCTATAAGCCAGAGCCGGTTGCATTTCGCATCGACTGCTGTGCGATAAACGGATATTAGCTTGGAACAGTCGGGATTGTTGGGGCTGCTGTGTGCCTGCCAGGACGGATACGGCTTCAATGCCGGGCTTATCTCCTGTGTCGGATATGGCACGGTGACCAAACTCGCTGGGACGCCGTCTTTCCAGCGCGGTGTCGTTATAAACAGTCGACTCCGATATATATCAATACCCAAAGGTAAATTGTTTCGCGGCACAAAATCGCTGATAAAAATATACGTAAATAACAGAAACAAGTAAGAGGTTCTAGTCGGGAGCTCCCGACTAGGGGATACCCTAAACCCTCTTATTCCAACACCAAATAAATTAATAAAAAAAAGGTCCCTTGGCATGGCTCGAATTTGCAACTGACCGCATTACTTACTGTCGACTCTACTCAACAGCCACACCAGCAAAAAAAAAAAAAATAATAATACTTTCCCCACTAGGGCTCGAACTCGCGACAGACCGCACCACTTGCTATGCCTCTACTCAGCAGCCACACCCACAATTAAGTACTTATGATAAAAAAAGTAACTAAAATAACATTACAAAAAAAAGATGCAATTACCATGCTGTTAGAATGCGAAGCAGACGCTCATGAATGTGTGTGTGTACATGTATACAGAAATTCTTAAAGCTGCTGCCCCATTCAATTGCGCAGTTGCATATAACTTTGGTTTTTCTTAACCGATCTTTATGAAATTTTCTACAGTATATCTTATTGTACCATAGAATATTTGTGTATTTTAAAAAAGTCAATTGCATTTAAATTGTGGTTTAAATTGGTTGGCACTAAAAGTTGGGTTATAAACTTGATTTATAGCTGTGGGGTGGTAGCGGGGAGGTGGCGATAGGTATGAAATGAAAGATACTTGAAATATCTATAATATTCTAGAAGCAACATATCATGTTGGGTGGCTCTAGCTCTTATTATTTACCCAATTTGCTAAAAAATAACAGGATGTCGATATCGATTTTTATCGATTGCTTGGAAACGGAGTAAGTTATCGATTATCGGAAACAAACTCCATCTGCGCGGGAACTAGGAGCATCTACATCTAAAATTTCAAGTCTGTAGCTCTCATAGGTTCTGAGATCCTTGAGCTCATACATACGGACGGACGGACGGACGGACGGACGGACAAACAGACAGACGGACATGGTTAGATCGACTCGGCTATTGATGCTGATCAAGAATATATATACTTTATGGGGTCGGAGATGGTTCCTTCTGCCTGTTACATACATTTGGATTTTGCACAAATACAATATACCCTTATACCATTTTTAATGGGTTCAGGGTATAAAAATAACCATTTATATCTACATATAAATCTCTTTGATTTATTTTATTTTATTATACTCTGTATTAGCTTCAAATCTTCACCTCCTCAATATCCTCTAATGGACAATAATACTTGTTACAAAATTTACAAAACCCTATATTTAAAAGTTGGGAATGGCATGAAAATATTATGCACGGGTATGAAAAAAGAGGGATTTTTGAAATCTTTATTTATTTTAATTAGAGAACATGGCTTTTGTGCATTAATTATTTAACATAAAGTAAGAATTAACCATATATCTCATATACACTCATTCTACCTTCAAAATAGTTTTTCATAACATAATTATACCTTTCACTTTTTTTCCATTTTATTTATTGGTTGCCAGATATTAAAGCCATACCTTAACCTGAAAGCTGTGCTAAATATCCCATAATAGTCGTTTTAACATATTACCCATTTTTTATCGCCAGCTGCCTCTCAACAAAGGTGGGATATTCAAAATCCAAATACTTCCACTCATGGACAATCTCAAATGAGGGAATAGACCCGTTAAACGCAGATTGTTCGAACTCGGCAGATACATAGGCACGAGTTGAAAGGTATTGAAGGCCAATGATCGAAAGAAAGCTAACTAATGCAAAAAAAAACGACTTCATGGCTTGTGTACAAAACTGGTTAACTGGCTTTCTGATTAAATTTCAAACGGCAACCAATCTGGTTCACGCACGAAAAACAACTGAATTCAGGTGAACAGGGCGTCTTTGTTAAGTACTCTTATTATCATGCATCATAAATTTCAATTCTCTTTTTTTTAAATTTTGACTCTTGACGTTGAATTCGATTTACCAGGGCTACAACACAAATCTTTATGCAGAAAATTGTTTGGTCCTCGCGGACCTGTGATCAATTAAGGTTACCCTATGTGATGAAGGTACACAGGTTTGGGAAAATTTGCACATTTGGTAGGTGCCATTTTAGGCTCAAAAATCAAGTTCGAGGATTCTTTCCATTGTCTCACATTTTCGAAAAATCGAGCCTTGGCTACAAATTCATTTGCAAAGATCTTTATGAAAATGAATTTAATATGTGTTTCAGTTCAGTTTCTTGCAGGTCAACGGTTCCGATTTTTGTGCTATTAGAAACGCAAATGATGTTTAATGCTGCAAATTTGGTTGGGCAAGAAATGCAATTCGAATTCGAATGCTGGAGCTTCCAATGCAATTCGTGACGTCACATATGAGACCATGCGCAGCGCAGCTTCCCCCAGTGAATGGCAATATTGACAGCAAGTGAATGGCAGAATTATATGTAATTACATGTGTGTATGTGACTATGCATTTACATTTGCTTGATTTTGCTCGATACATGGTGAAAAGCATTTGCAACGAACAAAAATAAAAAGTAAATGAAAAACAATCGAAATTTTCTAATGTGCCAGCTGGAACAAACATGACGCTAATACGAGAAGCAAAAATATCAATGTAAATGCCATAATTGTAAGTTGCGCCAAAAACTATGCTTGTGTTCGCTTGTGGAAAATCGATACAATGAAATTCCTCTACATCCGTGTGTGTGTGTTGTGAATAAATTTTTCAAATATATTAAAAATATTAACTACCAATAAGGTGGAAGGCTATCTCATTTTTTAATCGAACAATTGTACATACAAACATGTTTATGTATCTGTATATGTAAGTATATATAAATTTGCCAGAAAGCAACAACACAGGAGACTTTGGTATTGTTCGCTTTGCTGTTAAAATTCGCAACAAGTTTAAGCTGCCAAAGAGTAGCAAGGTGTTTGCTCAACTTTAGTTGATACCAAAATCGAAGATGCAACAGAAATTCTCTAAATAAATGCTCACTCTTTGTTGCTGTACTTTGGATGAAGCCCTCCAGTTTTTAAAATAAGTGTTACACCCAAACCACTTTTCGTATTTGGTATAGTTGTTAATTTCCCTTTTACAAAGTTTTGTTATGCTTTTCTATTTTAAAAAAAGAGTTTCTAGTCGGGAGCTCCCGACTTGGGGATACCCTGAACCCTCTTCTTCCAACATCAAATGCATATATATATTCTATTTTAGAAGCTATATGTCAAGTTCGGTGACTCTAGCTCTTATTAATTACCAAAATTGCCCAAAACACAGGATATCGATACAGATTTTTATCGATTGCTAGGGAACGGAGTAAGTTATTGATTATCGGAAATAAGCTCGATCTGCGCGGGAACTAGGATCACCTACATCTAAAATTTCTATCTAGCTCTTATAGGTTCTGAGATCCTTGCGTTCATACATACGCACGGACGGACGGACAGACGGAAGTGGCTAGATCGACTCGGCTATTGATGCTGATTAAGAATATATATACTTTATGGGGTCGGACATGCTTCCTTCTGCCTGTTACATACATTTGGATTTCGCACAAATACAATATACCCTTATACCCATTTTTAATGGGTTCAGGGTATAAAAAATACAGGTAATAATAATAATATGCCAATGGCGGATAGAGTGATCGAGTATTCGAAGTATTCAAAAGAAACTAAGTTTTGAATCTATGTGCTCGTTTATCGTATTTCTTTCTTTATTTCTTGGCTAGCATATATATATATTCATACCCAATTTAAAACAATATCCGGATTCGATAGAGCCTAGGGGATGTCCTCTAACAATTAATAAATAGCTCTCTCTCTCTGTGCAATCGTTTTTCCAGATAAAGCAGTTAGGAAAACGCTACAACCAGGTCATTTACGATGCATCCAATTCGTAGCGATCTTTCGAGTGGTGCTAGCAACCAGCGCCGAAATGGAAATGGAAATGGAAATGATTGCAATGCTATAGTTGCCGGGAATGCGTGTGCCGGTCGTAGGAAATCGGTTAATTATCAGCCGCAACTATCGCTTAAGGCGAACGGAGATGAACCGATTGGGTCACCAGCTGGTCGCTTTAGTCCGCATCCAAATGAGATATTCCTGGCGCAGTCGGGCAAACTAACCATACCGTTGGCCAAATTTGATGATTCGCTAATAAACGGCTGCTTGCCGCCGCCGTCGCCTGCGCCAAATAGCGATTGTTTGCCCTCGGATCTAAGTCAGGCCCACGCTCAAACCCAATCGAATTTTCAAACCAAAATTGGCCTTAACACGAACAGCAGCGGAAATCAGATGCAGCAGCTGAATCTGAACCAATTTCAGCAACAGCAACAGGGCCACGCTCAAGGCTATCCGTTGTCATCCTCGAACTCGACCTCGTCGCTATGCACAAACAATTCGGGAAGCACGCAGTCGCAGCCGGCGGAGAGCTCGTCCGGCATCCATCATAAGCATGGCAAATATAGCCTGCATCCACTGCATCCACGTGCAATGTCGCCCAACTCGAAATATCGCCTGGAGCGCTACCGAGATCCGGCTCAAAAGGTGAAACTAATCGAAGCAATGAATCTATTATCGCCGGGACTTGCACCCGCAACGGCGACAACTCAAAGTGCAACCTCGACACGTTATTTTATGCCACCCAAAATGGTGGAATGTGATGCATACAACGGTTATTTGGGCTCCACGGTGCACACGCCGGTCAAACGGTATGTCCCGACGCCGCCTCCGGCGAGTGATATATACACGGATTCAGGGCTCGGCCCAACAAGGACAGCAACAGGTACGGCAACAACATGCGCTGCCACGCCTCCGCTGTCATCGCAATACGTGAATATTCCGTATAATTATCGTGCCAAATGCTGTCACAATGAACATATTGAGTCTGGGCAGGCTCAGGGAAGCTATTCGAAGAACGCACAAACCTATAATGTGCACAATGTGCCATCATCATCAGCCGCCACATCTTCCAACTCGAATCCATGCCCATGCCCATCGCCTTCGCCTGCCTCATCTGGCTCATTATCCATAACATTTCCTGCACCAGGCACCAGCATCTGCCCGCCCATTGTGAGCACGGGAAAAAACATTGGATCGTGCAACAAGTTGCGATCTAATATGGAAAGTGCACGCATCAACCATCCGGATGAGGCCGAGTCCATTATAGTCATACAGTCTTCGGCATTGGGTCAGAGTGAGGGCCAGCGACAGGTGCCAGCTCAGGTGCAGGTGCAGGTGCAGGGTCAGGACATGGCTGGCACCTGTTTGCATTGCAATACCACGCGTCGGACAACCGGTGTGCATCAGACAACACAAACAACTGGTCCAATCAGTCCCGTGCCCCTGGCCATGCCCATGGCCATGCCCGTGCCCGTAACATCAACGGATCTGGCCAAGCTGAAGCATCAGCATGATCAGGAAATGATGGCACACGAGAATGCCAGCGCCACAATCGAGGGCTCCGATCTGTCTAGCACAATAGCATTCCAACGTCAGCAGCAACAGCAGCAGGTATATCCAGTTGCCCACTTGGCCAATTCGCCTCGCCTGCAGCAGCAGCAGCAACATGTCATGCCGCAGCAGCAACAACAGCAGCAGGCCCTTCGGTATTCCTGCAAGAAACGCATCATTATTTATATGCGACGCGAGGTTGCGCGTTTCTTTGGCGTGGAGACCAGCACGGAGACTGCGGACTTTGCCCTCTGGTACGGACGCCATCGACGTCTGGCAATTCGACGCTTTGGGCCATTGAACACAAGCTCGGAATTGGACTACAATATGCCCATGCCAATTGACAATCGTGATAATGGAAACAATGCGGAAGCAATTGGCTACCATGCAACGGATCGGCCCGATATCCTGCCCGCTCAGGATGCCCAAAATGTGGATATGGCGCTGCATGCCACCGGTAGCTGCAGATGGCGCAAATGCTATGCGGGTAGCGATTTCAGTGCGGGCGAATTTGTGGAGCGCAAGGCATCGGTAGCTCACATGCTGATGACAGGTGTTAGCTACCTGATAAGCATGTTCAATGTGCGACCCACAAAGAATGGACATGGCCGCCTTGGTAAGCGATTCCATCATCGGCAATGGTCACGCAGCTTTGCGCCGATCCATGTGCACGGCCGGGGCGTGGATTCCATGGATCATGGCGAGGACATGGACGCCGAGTGCAGCATGGGCATTGCCAATAGTCTGGCTGCACTGATCGATGACGAGGTCTTCTTCGATAGTCCATGCGATGCGTCGTCCACCTCATCGGCAAATGAGGACGGCGAAACAAACAAACAGCCGCCAACAGATGCAGTCGGCTTGGGACTGGGCGTCGGAGTCGGAGGCGAGGGCGGCGTTGGCGTCTATATGGCGTCTGAAAGGCATCACAATGGTTGGCGCACCTCGGCTCTAAATGGTGGCAACGGGGGTAACGGGGATATGCATTTGATAGCCGATGCACATCAAATACACCAGGTGAACCATATTCATATGAGCGGCAGCTCGGGACAAGGCCACTCCGTGCTGCGCACATCCAATTCGACAACTAATTCTTCAACCACCAATCGTGGCAATCGTATAGCTGCCCAGCTGCTGGATGGCGTTCTGGAGAACTCGAGACGCCCCCAGACGCAGCATATCAAATACTTTTCGGTCAATGATCTGGACGATCGCACGGATCATCGACCATTCTTCACATACTGGATAAATACGGTACAAATTGTCGTACTGTTTTTATCGATCATTTGCTACGGCATCGCACCAATTGGTTTCGGTACCGAACAGAAAACCGGACAGGTGCTGGTGACCAGCCTAAGCCTGCAGACGGTACAGCACATCGAGCAGCGCAATCTCTGGATTGGTCCACGCAATAATGACCTGGTTCATATGGGTGCAAAATTTGCGGCATGCATGCGGCGCGACATTAAGATCATGGAGGTGGTGGCAAAAACCAGAAGGCAGGAACGTGAAACGGCTTGCTGCATACGGAACGATGACTCCGGCTGCGTTCAGAGCTCCCAGGCGGATTGTTCCATACGGGGTCTCTATCCTACGGTAAGTGTTATATACTATATATATGCCCGTCTTTATCGGTTTCTAATTCCCACCAGAAATCAATATCGACTTGGAAAAAGTGGTCACCCGGTGAGTCTGGGCCTGGCGGGCGGATTTCAGGATCTGTGTGCGGCT